GTAGGTGAGTTTGGAGAAGGTTCTTCAACAACAGTAGATATTGCTTGCGACAGGTTTCATATAATTTCTATTGACAACTCTTTCTTATACGTGGAACAAGACATTGAAATAAAACCTTCTGCCAAGTTGTCTGACAAGAAAGGTTGCAATGGAATTTTCTATGTCGGATACCAATATGCTCCAGAAGTTTTCATGGGATATAAGATATATTCTAACTCTGACTTAGTTCAAACAGTAACATGGGCAAACTATGAATGGTTCGCTTTGAGAAACTCAGTACAACCACAAGCTAGAGAACAAACAGACCAGTATGCAATATTGAGAAAATAAGAAGACTTGACCCTAACGTTCCAGGAGTTTATGTTAACCTTTCTGGACAAACTGCAGCAGCAGTAACCAAAGTAAAACTGAAACTTAGAGTTCCTTTGTCATCTTTCCTCATCTTCAGGTTTTTAAGATACTTGCCAAACTGGGCAGGAAAAATTTCTATTGAACTTACTCCAAGCAAAAATAACTTAGTCATTGCACCAACACAAGACCCATTCACTCTTACAGACGTAACGGGAACAAATAAAACGTCATTCGCCGAATTTTGCAAAGACAAAGTTGACTTAGACTTTGGTTTCTCAAACCTCAACACTGAAGTAAACTATTATTTCAATGCTGCTGGAACTGCTTGGGACCCAGTTAAGTTCACATGCGAAAAATTTGAATGCAAGAAGATAGAAAGCAGACTTGCAGTCTATATGTTGGACCCCAGATATTTCAAATGCTTTAGCTGCCAAATATATATGCAGTTCCACTTATGTTCCCTATCACCAAATATCGTCAAAGACTTTGCAGGTGAAGTTGGAAACCAAAGTGCTGACCCAGGTGCAAGAACAGATATTGCTTTAACAACTGCAATGAAACATGCAGATACTCTGTTTGTACTGTTCAGACGAACTATAAATGACTATTCTTGCTTCTACAACCCTGGTATTAAATATCATATAAACATAAGATGGCAAATACTATCCAAGAGAAGAATATTCTACAGTTGAGGATATGAGGTCATACAACTTGACATTAGATGCTATGAACTTTAACAACAACTTCACAACAACCATTAACCCTGAAATGCAAAGTTCTATTATGCCATATGTGAAAGTATGGACTCATACAGGAGCTCAAAAAACTCAATATACAAATGGAGACCGTTCAAACTTTTGGCTTGGCATTCCATTTGCTGACTCAGAAGACTTTATGGTGGTATTTCAACTGTTGTACAGTTCAAATACAATATACTGGTGACAGAGACGGTCCAGATGAATTGAAAGCAAAGAAGTTACAAAAACCAATAGCACTTTTCACGGAAGATGCTCTTTTGAAGATTCGTTCGATGAAACCTGCTGGGGCTCCTCAGATTGGTATAACGACAGCTTCCATCGAGCAGATTTTGGCAGCAGGTCAGTAAGTTGTTCTGAACTGACTTCTCTCCGTCAAATATTGACAGTACGCCAGTTTTGACATAGTATTGTATTATAAACTTACCTTTAGAAATATCGGTCAGTTTTGAAGTTATATTTTTGTCTGCTTCAAGAACTTTCACCATTTCAGTTATACCAACTTTCTTTGCTTTATGAAAACATTTTGGTTCAGCAAAGACTGCTATTCTATAACATTTTCCATTGTTTGTATAAAGAACTATTCTATCAATGAACTTGTATTGTTTGTGAGTATAAACTTTGTTTTGCTTCAATTCGAAGAGATACTCAAATACGTCCATCTTTTTTCTAAAGTAAAATGTCATTTCCGAAAAAATAGAACGTAAGTGTTTCAAAAGGTTTAATGCGGTGCAGATGTGAAGTTTAATTCACCAACTCAAACAAACAGTCAAAGTGTTATTGTCAATGTCAAAGAAAGAGATGTTGAAATGGGGAAACCATACGAAGACCAAGATGGTATAACAATTGTTCCTGTAAAAAGAACAACCAACATACCCTGAAGTTAGCAGAGACTTAAGTTCTGTTGCAGATATTCGAAACGACTACCAACAACTTAAAACAAACTTAAAACTCAGAGAAGATTGTCAAGCTTTGGTATAATGTTAAACTTGGTTGAGCACAACCCTGTAAAAGTGAACTCATATGTCATCGCACCTCATGAAATTTTGAAAGAACTAATTGAAACTTTTGACAGAGGCAGACGATATAAACATCAAAGAAATAGAACCCGACATTAGTTGCTGTGGTGTTTCATATAATGTCATTGACAAGATATACGTTATGAAAGGAGGTGAAACGTTGAACTTAAAGTATAGTTTCCCAGACGTCATAAAAATATTTGACGACCACAACATTTCATTAAAATTTATTTGCTAAGTAAATGGCAGAAGACATAGTGGTTTATACTATTACGACTAAAAACCCTGAGTCATATAATTCTATAAAACAAACTTACAAAGTCCTCAGGACGATATTGTAAACTAACCTTAAACACAATGACGACTAAAGCCTGTTTGCTCTTTTGACACCAGAAGATTTTATTGTTGTGAATGGTAAAAAATACTCCTTTGAAGATACTTACTCAGATATACCACCAACAGGTTTTGTTGACTTATTTAATACTTTACGTACGAGTGTAACATGTGCTGCAACTAGAGCAGGTTTCAATTATGTTTGGATGTCCGACTGAGTTTACTATAAACAATATGAGCTATAATACAAAACTTATTTCTGGTTTTACTACCAACAGTTTCCTATAACAGGAAAAGGTGTCATACAAGGAATGTCTATTCCAATTGACTTTAAGTACACCTATTTTATATATTGTTTCAAACTTAGGTTCAAAGTGTTATTCGAATGTCGACAGAAACTATTAGACCAAAAGATACTTATGCGTATAAACAATACTTTCTCTGCTGGTTTGCCTATTGTTTCATTCGAATGCAGAATTTTCAACTTAGTGAACTCAAACACATTGGCAAGTATAACGTTGACATTAGTTGACGCAAACTTTGTTCCTGTAAAACTTTATGTCCTATGTATTTGTCAATGACGGCAGAAAGTTTCGAATTGGAAGATGCAACCGGTGAAAGTATTGTATTACAAGAACAACTTCAACAACAAATAGCTCAAGAACAACAATGCAACAAATGGAACAACAAAGTCAAGAATAAAAATAATATTTTTTTTATTTTTATAAAAATGTACAGAATAGATGTTTCAGATTTTTATGACTTCCAAGCATTCAGAAATATGTGTCCATTTAGAGACTATAACAAAGCAGTCGAGAATTTGAAACGTTTAGTCATTTATGTTGACTCTGCCCCAGAATGTTATGTCATGAAAGAATGGGATGTTGTCTTTAACAAACCAAGAGCAACAATAGTTTCAGAACAAGAATGTAGACAGAAACTTAAGAAAATAAAAGTCGTACAAGTTGGAATGAAGATGTTAGATGCTTGGGATATCTTATTGTCAAAACTTGAAGATTTTTCAGTTCGAGGTATAAAGTTCTATACACCTTCTCCAAACTTCTATTCTATCTTCACTGGATATAAATACGAACAAGTAGAATGGAAGAAAATATTATAGAAGCTTGGTTAGACCATGTCAAAGAAATTATATGCAATGGAAACGAAAAGGTTTATGAGTATATCTTATGTTGGTTTGCAAACATCTTACAACATCCAAGTGCTAAAAATGAAACTGCTCTCATTATAATTGGAAAACAAGGAACTGGTAAGAATACTTTCTTTACAGATATTTTGTGCAAACTGTTAGAAGGTTATTCGAATCCGAATATGACAAACTTAGAAAACATCTGCGGTAAATTTAACTCCTCAATAGAGAATATGAAACTTATAGTATGTAACGAACTTCAAAGTATAGATACAACAAAAGTTTTGAACTCAGATGCTTTGAAGAGTCTTATAACAGACAAAGTTGGAGTTGTTGAAAGAAAGTATAAAGACCAAAGAGTTTGTGAGAATGTTGCAAACTTCATTATGGTTTCAAACAATGCTGTTCCGATGAAGTTAGAAAGTTCTGACAGAAGATATGTAGTTGTCAGAACGTCAGATTCTCATATGCAAGATACAGAATATTTTGACGACTTAGCAGAAACTTTGACATCTGACTTTTACAACCACTTGTTCTCATATTTTATGACATTAGATATTTCAAAGTTCAATCCAAGACAAATTCCACATACCGAAGAAAGACAAACATTGTTAGAAGCAAACAAGAGTGTATATGAACTGTTCATAGATGAAACTGACTTTGAGTGTTTAGATGAAAGGTCATTGTACGATTCGTATAAACAGTATTGTCAAGAGTATGGTTATATGGCAGCGTCTAAACGTACGTTCTTGGCAAATGTCAAAAATCTTTTAGATGTTCAGAACGGCGTATATACAAAGAAAAATTTTTATGAGTAAATTTAAAAAAAAATATTTTTTTATCCGATAGAAAAGATGGCAAAATTCATCTCAGTAAACAAGTACATGTCAGGACTTAAAGAAGAACTAGACCCATTCACATATTTGAATGTTTACTTCTACCATTTTGAAAAGTCTTCATTCAGCAAAGTTTGGAACATCGAACCAGTTAAGTTTGCTATTGTGACTAAAAATGGTGCGAAATTTGAAGACTTAGACATAGAAGGTTTGTTAGCAGTCAAAGAAAATTTTGACAGAAGGTTCTCAAACCTTAAAGAAGGCAAAGCATACAAACTTGTTATACCTTATGAACCAAAGAAAGCAGACGACTATGAATATTATGAGTCTAAAGTTGTAGAAGTTCAAGGTAAATTGGGTAAAAAGATTTTAGAGTCTAAGCCAGTGTTTACTCCTAAAGAGGAAGAGAACATTGACATTGACCCAGAAATGTTCTAAAAATAAAATTTTATTTTTACATGTCAAATTTCTTTTTCTCTGGTTCAGGTTCTTTCTTCTCTTCTTCTACTTTCTTTTCTTTCTTTTCTCTCTTCTTCTTCTTCTCTGGTGGAGTTATGTCAAATTTGGCGCAACCATATTTATGTAAAAGTTCTTTGTCCTTTAATAGCTCTTCTATTCTGTTTTCTATTTCATCTTCAAGAACAGCGCATGTGTCTTCTTTGCATTCTAAGAACTTTTGTTGGACTTCATCTTTCCAAGAGGCGTCATCTCTGTCAACAAGTCTGTCATTGACAAACTTAAAGACTTCTCTGCCTAATGTTTTATGGTTCTTGTCATATTCCCAGAAACAGAACTTTAGAACAAATTCACCTTTCTTGTTTACACTATGTAAGATTTTATGGTCTACAGATGTTTTGCTGTCGAAAAGCTTGTCTCGAATATAGATAGCGAAATCACTAGACATTTTCTAAAAGATAAAATTTTTAATTTTTCTAAAAATATGTTAGAAAAAAAGTTTGCTGACATTGACAAGAAATTTGAGAATGTTTTAAACAAGAACAAGAGGAAGTTAGAAAATGCTCAGATAAAGCCTATACATGACAAGTTCTTATTTGCTCAGAATGGTATAACAGGTCTAATTGCACCACCTGGGTCGGGTAAGACTTTCACTTATCTTAAAATGGCTGCACAACAACAAGAACTAGATGAGAAGAACCCATTCTATGAGTTAGTTGTCATTTGTAGTACTTCTGGTCAATTTGACCAAACCGTCAATTCGTTCAAAGATATTATAAAGAAGTCTAAGTTAGTATGTATAAAAGACTCTGAGTTGTTAGATTGGATAAAGAAGTACCAAAGAAGAGTTTTGAAGTATAATGCTATAAATGAGTATATAAATTCGAAGTTTAAAGACCCAAATGAGGAAATGCAGAGAATATTAGAGAAGAAACACTTCAGAAACAAACAGAAAGAGATAGAATACATTTCGAAGAAATTGCAATCTTACGATTGGAAAACGTACCCTCATAGATGTCTTCTTATCTTAGATGACTTTGCTTCTCATCCTTTGTTAAAGAACAGAGAACAAGATATGTGTCGAATTCTTAAGAAGCTCAGACACTTTAACATCTCAGTCGTAATATGTGTACAGACAGCAAAGAGTTTAAGTAAGGATGTAAAGAGAATACTTACTGACATTATACTTTTCCCCGGATTGTCCGAAGACGATTTCATGGAACTTATGAAAGAGTCCATGGCAGGTAAGTTTGACAGACATGAACTATGGGAGAAGTACAAAGTCATACAAGACCCTCATACTTCTTTCAGAATTCATATCTACGCAAACAAAGTTCAAATTGTAAAAAGTCAAGCTTGAAAAATAAAGAGTGCATCTACCCTACTTGTTTGAAGTTGTCAAAATACTCTGTTATTTTTCACGATTTTCATAGAGTTTTGGCGACTGGGGTTTCTTACCTACTCGCTGTTCTTCACGATTTTCATACGGAATCTCTTCTCTCGGTTTTTCCGAGGGAAGCAAGCATATGAGGAAATTCATGAATTTTGTTGCTGAATTCAATAAAAATATATTTTAGGTGAAGAGGTGAGATTTCACCTCTTTTTTCACCTGTTTTTTCACCTCAGTTATTTTATAAGCGTTTCACATGGTAAACGTTATTTTTTAAATTTTGTGAAAACTCAACGGTTTGACACAAGCCCTAAAAATTATTTTACTCAGAATTTTGTTGCTGAATTCAATAAAAATATATTTTAGGTGAAGAGGTGAGATTTCACCTCTTTTTTCACCTCTTTTTTCACCTGTTATTTTATAAGCGTTTTACATGAATTGTATGATGTATATTTGAAATCCTAAACAATTTCGTAGCTTCTATTTCTTCTGTCAGTATGTCAAAAGTTTTAACAATGCCGAAGGTTTCTTTATACTTCTTCTTGACGTCAGATAGAAGGAAATCTTCTGCTGTTGGATAGTTTTTATTAAGAAATGTCAACATATCCATTTTATCTTCTGCTGGCTTTTCTGCTTCTTTCTTTAAGTCTGCATAGTCGTTTCGCATTCTTTCTATCTCTTTGACTGAGTAGTTATATTTCCTCATTGCTGCTTTACATTTTGAACATTGCGGGTTCATTTTTGCGTTATATTCTGAAACCTTACCTGCTAAAACAACTAAGGCGTCAATTGCTCTCTTCATCTCGAACATAGCGGGTCTTATTTGTTCGTTCCATACCTTACCCCTACTATCTTTATCTCTTATTTCCCAAACACATTTTGCAACTAATGAAACAAAGTTGTCGTAGGTCTTAAATTCTTCGGATTTGTAAAGGTCAGAGATGTTCTTATATAACATGTCGCAATCTTTGTCCATAACTTTATGGTTGCAATGAAAACCAAGGAATTCATAATTTACCTTTCGTATGAACTTCTTTATTTCTACTGAGTCAGTAACTTTAACTTCTATTTCGTCAAATTCGGGAATAGTGAGTTTTTGTTGTTGTATTTCAGGAAGTTTAGGTAAATGGTCAATAATGTCCTGCATTTCATAAAGATACTGTTCATTTGTTTCATCTTTCGCACTACAGTCTAAATTACTTGTTAACAATTCCTGCTTTATCTTCTGGATTTTTGTTTCGAAAGTATATGAAGAAGGAATGAAGTTTTTCATCTCTACCAACATAGATGTTGGATTCATAACTAACGAGTTTGGTGCTGTAGTTGTTTGAACTGTTGTTGTGCCGATTGTTGAAATCATATCTTTTATACAAAATAAAAAAAATAAAAAAATAAAGTTAGTTTTATTTTTTATTTCGGGAAAATTCATGAGGTGAAAAAACAGGTGAAAAAAGAGGTGAAATCTCACCTCTTCACCTAAACATTATTTTTGGGTCATTTACGCTCATTACGATGAAGTTTCGACAAAACATTTACGCTCATTACGAAGAAGTTTTGACAAAACATTTACGATGAAATCATGAAAATTCATGAGGTGAAAAAACAGGTGAAAAAAGAGGTGAAATCTCACCTCTTCACCTAAACATTATTTTTGGTGTAAATTTCAATAAAAATAAATGGTTCATTTACTCACAATATTTTTGTACAAAACAACCCCAAACTTTTAACTTCTTTTCTGCAGCTTCAAATGCTATCTTAGCGAGTTCATATTCTCTAAATTCTCTCTTTAAATCTTCTTGTTCCCATTGGTCTAGTTCGTATGGCGAGTCTCTATAACCAGAACATATCTCACGTTCATGTTCTATTTGTTTTTCATGCATTTTTCTAACTTCTTGTTCGAACAAAGGTTTAGCATTCTCTACTGTATCTTCGAATTCTTCTTCATCTAACTTCTCATGAACTTTCTTGTCTATGGAGTCCATAATTTTTCCAACTGCTATGCAATATTTTGGTGAAGCCCACATTGCTATATAGTTTACAAGTCTTGGGTCTACATACATTCCTCTAACCTGTTTGATTTCATCCGGAATTCCTGCATGAATTTTGTATAAAAAGCAACCCGCTGTTTTCCGCGGGTTGGTATATTCTTCACAAAATGCCTTAAAATACTCTTCCCAGGACTTATTTTCCAACAACCTTCTAAAGTCTTTCCTAAACTGCTGACACATCTTTGTTGCATTTATATAACCATCCTTGTCTCTACGTAAGACTTCAATACCGTTGTAAGTGCCTTTTGTGAATGTTTCGCCATTAGATTTGTTCGTGAACGTTTTTGCTTCGACTGTCATTTTCTGTTCTTACAATAAAAATAAAAAATATTTTTTTAAAAAAACCAACTTTATTTTTTATGTTTTTTTGTGAAAGTTTCGACAAAGCATATACCTTCATGTTTGACAAAACATATACGAAGAAGAAGTTTCGACAAAACATATACGAAGAAGTTTATTTCCTGTGTTGTTGTCAAAATGTCATGTTGTCACACTTTTTCAAAAAGATGTTAGTTGACCGAGTGACCGAGTGACCGAGTGACCTGGTCGCCTAAAATATATTTTTTTCTGTCTTAAGGAAATTCATGAAAATTCAACGGGTGAATTTTGTATAAAAAGCAACCCGCTGTTTTCCGCGGGTTGGTATATTCTTCACAAAATGCTTGTTTTTGAGGTCGAGCCACTTTTGGCTCCACCTCTTTTTTCACCTAAAATATATTTTTGTGCTATGTTTTCAGCACAAAACATATACGATGAAGTTTATTTCCTGTGTTGTTGTCTAAATGTCATGTTGTCACACTTTTTCAGAGAAGTTAAAATGACCTGGTGACCTGGTGACCTGGTGACACCTAAAAAACCACTTCACCTAAAATATATTTTCTATCTTAAGGAAATTCATGAAAATTCAAGAGGTTAGAAAAGAGGTTAGAAAACAGGTTAGATCTAACATTCTACCCTAAACATTATTTTTCAATACTTTTTCAGCACTTTTCCGTAGTTATATATGAAAGACAATTCGAGATAAAAGTCATAGTACAATGGTATAATATGCTGCACACCGTTTGTTGTGAACCAGACTTGAAAGTCAGAGAAACTGTTACTAGGTGGTTCGTAGAATTTAGAGGTAAGGTCATAAAAGTCCTTACCGATACAAAGAAAACTGTTGTTGCTTGAACTGAAACTTGCATGACACATAACATTTTGAGGGTCGAACACGTTTCTATAAACTGTCAAATTTGCTGGTGGACGTATAAATTTAAACGGACCGTCAGGTGGTAATGGTTCGTTCTGGTTTAGTAACCGAAGAAATTGTGCCCAAGAACGTTTGTCTACTTCCCAAAATAAAAACTGTGTACTTCTTGGAGGGTTATTTTCAATCCTTTGAAATGAAACTGTGGAGTTCATCTTGTCATATTCTAGCTTCAGATAGTACGTTCCGTTTAGTAAAGAGTCGTATTTTTCTTGAAATTCCCAGTAGTATTTGTTTATTTGAGTTTGAAAGTCATTTAGAGTTTTTTCAAGACTTTCGTCTGAACGAACTGTAAAGATTCTCATTTCGTCAAATTTGTCTATTAGACCATCAGAACCTTCATACTGCCCATGAAAATATACTGCGAACATAAATGCGTTAGTTCTTTTTGAAAACAAAACTCTTCTAAATCCTATTGCCTTTGCATCTGAAGGACTTTGAAGCCAACGAATTGGATAGTCAAACCTGTAAGCTCCGGATGAAATTTCTTCATCTGAAAGATTCCTACCAGCATTTGTAAAGATATAGTCTAACGGTTTTGTATCTGCTACTTTTGTTCTTTGTTTTTCAACCTGAAACATTTAATATATGTAAAAATATACTGTTTTAAAAAACGTTTTAAAATGGTATGCCATATAGCTTCTTGAATTTGTTAAGATATAGTCTAACGTTTTTTCCATCTGTATCTCTAGCGTTTACAAAAGCATAGTCTTCCTTAGTAAAACATACTTGTAATTTTCTATAGTTTACGCCGGTATAAAAGTAGAATGAGTCTTGTTCTTCGCTATAGTAGTAAAACTCAAACGTATGCTTGCCATAGTCTGTAATTTCAATTGCTTCATCTTCTAGTTCGTCGACAAATTCGAATACAATATCTCTAAACTTACCTTTGTTCTTATTGTTTTCAGAACAAGTGACCCAACGTAAGTTTTCAAGTCTATTGTCGTTTCTTATACGGTTTATATGGTCTACAAAAGGTAAATTGTTAGGGTTCGGTATAAAATGAGTTGCAATGACAATATGTTTAAGATAGCGTTTCCCACCCATCTTCATAATAGCATATCCTTTATTTCCCTCCCATCCGCTTAAAACTCTTTTTGTCTCTTTCTTCCTTATTTCAAAAGGCTCACAACAGTGAATTTCATATTTCTCATCTAACAAACAAGTTTTCCAACAGTCTTTTCCAACAAAATCAGCGTACATTTCAAATAAAATAAAAAAATATTTTTTTAAAAAAATGTTTTATTTCATGCAATGTTTTATTTCTGTGCCGTCTTCAAGTATGCCCCAATACTTACGCTTGGAGAGGACATGAACTTCGGTGAAAATTTTGTCCAATTTGAATTGACCCATCTTTTCACCGACCATTCCCATTTCAATGAGTTTGTTATAGCCTTCTTCGTTCGTCATGAGTGCGTCAATGTTCTCATAGTAAACCTTCACTTTGGATTTAACTTCGGAGAAGAATTTGTTGTAGTTGTCAAGGACTGCTTTTGCGAACTGAGGGTAAGACCAATGTTCGACAATAGTTTTAATGTGGTTACTAAGCCACTTTGACCTTGAGTGAATTCGTACTTCAAAACAAAAGGGAGAACCTTTCAACAAAGTTGTCGACCTTCTCATAATGTTTACTCTTCATCTCTTGAGGTTCTTAATGGAATATCCCCATGTCGAATTCATAAGCAATTTGAGTGTCATTGCAAGTTTGGGGTTTGAAGCTTTCCTAATATCATAGAGTTGTTGTATGACTTTTCCAACTGTATAGTTCCTTCCTGGAACTCACCATCTTCGTTTGGATTCCAGTCGGAATATATTGGACAAATCTCATGTACGCAGCGTTAAGGTCGACATAGTATATCTTTTCATCTGAGTCGAACTTGTCGCAACCAATTGGTCCAGTTTGTGGAAATTCAAGTGAGTCTCTTATCTTCTGAGAAACTTCTCCTGTTATCTCATAAACATCGTCGAAGCAACCTGTTTCATATAAAACCTTCTGACCTAACTCAGATGCTCTCCAATACAATTTGACGTCAATTGGATGTCTCAATGGAAGTTTGTTTATAGCATCTTGAAGTTCTTGCAACCTCATTGGAAGTTCTTCTGGTTCAGGTTGGTATCCGAACAATCCAACTCCTTTTGGAACTGCGTACTTCTTTTGTACTAGAACTTTGTCTGGAACAACTTTTGGTCTCACCAACAATGAAAAGTTTGTTTCGTCTTTTGTACAAAAGTTCTGTCAGCTTGTCATCTGGAATTGGTTCCAACAAACCTTTCTCGAAAAGAATGTTTACAGCTCTGACAATGTTGCACTTGCCTTTTCCGAACATAAGACTTTCGTTCAACATAAGTGGTTGTGGACAATTACAATCTTCAACCATGGTAATTTGAAGTCAACAACATAGTCGTCGTGTGAAGAACCTTTCTCAGTCGGAATGTTAACTCGGATATTGACATTGCCAACGGTGCAATTTTTGCCAATTGACCTCTGAGAATGTACCTTGTTCTTCACACATGACTCAAGATACTTCATCTTCTCATCTGTAACAAGACCAGAGTTCCTGAGACATGTAAGAATGCAAGGTTCATGACAATTGTTTCAATTGAATTGTAAATTCCATACCTTGTCAAGTCAATGTCAGACTTATTTATGAACGGGAAGTATCCAGCATGTTGTCTGACTGCTTGAGGGTTAGGTTGGTACCATTCAAATTTACACTTGCAATTCCTTCAATTGCATTCAAAATGTCTGAGTCGGAGTCAAACATTTGTTCTCTCTTTGTAGTCTTGAAAGCGTCAAGAAGTTGTGCGGCTGTTGTGACATTGCCATGTGCATAGTAAATGTGACCGTCCAAATCTGTTACGGTTAGTCTGAGATTGTATCCTTTCTTATTTCCGTCTTGTATGGCAGCAAGTACTCCCATGAAGCCTTCTTTGTTCTTTCCTTCGTCAAAGTTTACTGTAAAGGTTCGACCAGATGTAATTTGACTTCTAACTTCACGGTACTTTTCATATGCATATCTTGTTCTTTCCATGGGAGCATGTTTGTCTTCACCTTTTCCTTTTTTCCTTCTCAAAGGATGCAATTGTTCGTTATGTTTCCAGTAGAATCTGGCAAAGCCGTCGTGTCCTTCAACTTGCGGTTCACTAACATTGAAAGGCAAGTTCATAAGACGCTCTTCTTCTAACCTCTCTAATCTGTTTGGATAGTTTGCGCGTGCTGTTTCTAAGTCCATTTCGTAGGTCAGACCAGCAAGTTTGTCATAGACTTTTATGGGTCTTCCCTTCCTATATTTAAAATTCTTCGAAACTTTCCAACCATATCTTTCTAACTCTGCTTTTATTCTAGCAGATTTTCTATCCATTCTATGCGGAGGCATTTCTATAAAAATAAAAAAATATTTTTTTCCTTTACTTTACATAACCGCCTGCTGCCATAAGTCTTTGACGCCAACCCATACCAGCTAATGAAGGTTGACTTGGTTTAGTTTCCAAACTAAACTTTGGTTTTGGTTTATCTTCAGTTTTTGGTTTTTCTTCTTCTATCGGTTTTTCGTCACTTTTCGGTTCCTCTGACTTTACCTCACTTGCAGGTATGGTTGTGTCGTTAACATCTTCATAAATATCATATGCCATTTGTTTTTGTTTTCCTTTCAACTTTTTGTGTTTGTTGTAAAGTTTAGAATATTTCGACTCTAAGTCAATGAGATGTTCTATAATGAACTGTTGGTCAGTGAAGTATACCTTCCCATCTGTTGTCTCGAAAGCTCCTTCAGACTTCAATATTTTATTTGTGAGAGTCTGTTTCTTTTTGAGATACTAGCCGTTCCATTTCTATGAAAAGTGACTTTATAGTTGGGGTTTGTATTTCCAGACCTGGCACTTTCTATTATTGAATTTTTCTCTTCATCTGTAAGTTCTTTGACAGGTTTTGACAATGGTTCTGAACTTTTTGTTTGTGGTGTCAAATCTACTGTTTCAACTTCTTCGGTCATTTCATCTCAGTAAAAAATTTTAGTTTGTTTTGTTTTCAACTGGTTGTTTAGGTTTTTTAAGTCGGTCTAAAACTTCCTGAGGTATAGGAAGAACTTGACAAACACGTTGTGTAACTGCTGGAAGTCGACAAATCCATCTTGAACACATTTGTCTCAATGCTGTATTGTTCATTTCATCTCAGTAAAAAACTTTACATTCCCCACGTTTGAGGCGGTTGAGGTTGGTTATTGTTTACCCATTGTTGTGCATGGTTATATCCTCTGTTAAAGAATCTTTCACCTTGGTCCATATAGTGTCCTGCTTGGTTATAGTAGTCATTTGCTTTGTTATAATAGTTTCCTGCTTGTCTTCCTACATTGTCCATCCATCCTTGAACTTTTCCTCTTGTTTCAGGATTTGGAATAAGATTTGTTGCATCTCGTGCTACCTCCCAACCTTTCTGTACAGTTTGTATAATAGGTTGTGCTTTCTCTTTAAGTATACCTAATGTACTCAAAATCTTCCTTCCAACTCCAAATACACCTCTAGCTATTGTTCCCACTGCGGGTAAAAATCTGGATGCAACTCCTGCTAATGCGCCAAATAAACCCATTTCTTATGGGTTAAAAAATGACGAATCCAAACAAGGACCCCTATGTTTCTAAAGCGACAAAGAAAGCACTCATGATAAAAATCTTTAGTTCAACACCAAATGCTTGGTTTATGGATATCTTGGAAAACATTCCGAGGTATAGAGAAGATGGACCACCATACTGGCTAATATTTGTCGGTCAAAACACAAGATACTGTGAAGCCATACCATTATGGTCCAAAAATATTTTAGATGTGAAAACTGCTTTGACAATATTCGTTGACAAATACCATCCAACAAAACTGACATCTGACTGTGAAAGTTCTTTCAAATCAGATGATGTAAAAAACTATCTGCGTTCAAAAAATGTAAACCAATATTTCATTGTCGACCAAAACCATTCTGCTCTTGGTGTCATTGACGGTTGTATAAAAATGTTAAGAGACTTAAACCAACCACAAGGTGGTGAAGCAAATGAAATGTCATATGACGACAAGTATAGACACTTTTCCATGGCAAAGATGAGACAAGTTTTAAATATTTACAATAACCGTAAACAAAAAGGTTTGGGAACCACTCCCCGAAGAAATGAAAAACAACCCTGACTTAGAGAAAGACTATATATTTAATAATTTAGTCAAAAGAGACAAACAAGAAAGAATGCCGGGCTTCAAACTTCAGAAAGGTGACAAAGTAAAAATAGAAATACCTAAACGCGACCCATATGAAAATACTATTGACTATGACAACAATGGGAACCCGACAGGTACTCACATTCGTGTTCGTAAAAATAGAAGAAAGTATACAAGAGAATATTATGAAGTTTTAGGCAAACATGGCAAAATGTACACACTGCAAGCAGAAGATAAAACTACTATTGTCAGACCTCGTTTCAAACTTGTCAAAGTTCAAGGTGGTATACTTTCAAAGACAGTTCCTAACAAATATAAGACAACTCCTGACGAATATGCTAAAGAAGTTGAAAATGACGACTAAGCATTTCTATACCATGCGTAAACTGTCATGTAAGGTGGCATGTATTCTTTACTTTGTCCCGTTGTTTGCGTATATCCTGAAACGCGATGTGTATGGTTTCCATCTCCCTGAGTGTTACCCAGAAACAATTTATAGCAAACTGAACGTTGTCTTTAACATCATATCCTTTACCTTTTTTCATTGCTGACCAATCCCAAAATTTATGCTTATGCCAACCTGCTTGAGATGTACTTAAATCTATGTAGTGACTGTGTGCAGGTAAATTTTCACCTGAAATCGTTTTACTTCCACCTGTTTCCTTTGAAGAGTTTGCACAATACAAAAACCTGTCGACTATTTGAGTCCAAGTTCCAAAACCCAGAACTGTTTCTGGATTTGTTGAGTTCATTGACGTATAAATAGAACCTATAGGATATAGTGTTTGAAGTATTTCTGTCTTTAATGTTTGAAGCTCTGTTTTGTCTGCTTTCTTGTCATATAAATCTTGAGCAGTGAATTTAGTATTATATTCATCCTTCATGACATAAACATCTTTACATCTAATGTTTTTCATCGTCGTTATGTCGTCATCCGATGTTAAACCTTGTGGAAAGTTAGGAGGTTTACAATATATTGCATCCCCACCAGTTTCTTCAACCGTTCCTTCAATACTTTCTATAGCAACAGTTGTAAAACTTGTATGTGTATGGTTCTTGTCTGCTTTCTTCTCTAACTCATCGTTAACATAAGTTTTATCTGCTTTAAGGTCTAAACATCCTGAAACCCATCCTGTATCGGCTTTAACTTTAAAAGTCTTCGATGTCCATTCATGGTACCAGTCAACCCTTTCTTTCATTTCGTTATCTTTTTCATCCACATATTCCTTATCCGCTTTCTTCTCTAACTTACTAGCCACATATTCCTTATCTGCTTTCTTTTCAAGGCTAACGTTTAAGTCTGTTATTTCAGATATAGAATGTGTATGAGTCTTTTTAGAATATTCTTTGTCAGCTCTTGTCACTTCACTTGACATTTTATTGTCAACATATGTTTTGTCCGCTAGTTCAGGATGAGTATTGTTGCATATGTTGCATCTGCTCTGTCATGTTCTTCTTGAACTTTTTCAATGACATACTCTTTGTCAGCTTTGTTGCCAACATCTGCTTTCAAAAGAAGTTCATTTATAGGTTTCTCGTTTAAAGTTCCTTTTGTTGGATTTATACAGACAGTATGGTTCTTATTGTCTTGAAACAGAAACTCATCTGTCATTGGGTTTAATGTCAGTTTTAAGTTTCCTTCTTTCAATGACTCAGATATCTTAGAATAGTTTGAAAAGTTTGTTGTGTTCTTATTTAGAGCTTGTATAATGAGTTGTCGGTTGTGTTGTATTTCTCTCATAGACGCTGTTTCATTTGACATTTTTATTCTAGATAAAATATGCTTCCAATAGAAAAAGAAAATTCAAGAGTTGCTACAACTAAACCATTAGATGAACTTTTTACTAATGTCGGTCAAAAGTTTGAGACAGAGACCGTAAAGCATGAAGGCTATCGTTTTGACTACCCATTAAGATGGCTAAGAGACCCATCTGTCACAAAAGCTATTGGCTTTCGTAGAATGAAGTTTGTGTCTGTAGAAGATAAAAGTTTTCCATTTATTGTAAGGTTTCATATAGATTATATATCTGAAGGGAAACCGAAAAATGTGGGAAGAAATTGAGCTAATACAAGTTGACCTTTCATCTTCTCTACAGACTGCGTTAAAAAATATAGAAGATAAAATAAATTCATGTTATGCAAAATATGCTGATGAATATGCAAATACCGAGAGCACACTTTATGTGAGAATTGTATATGACAAACAAAATTCACAAGTGTCATTTCAAATCTACGAAGACAATCCAAAGAAAGACGAACAAATATATACAGAATTCACTGCAATGTCATGGTATTATTTGCAAAGAATGTTAAATCAGAAAGTCAAACTTCCTTTAGCAAATATTTACAGTCGATATGCAAGAGATGAACCATATTTATTTAAAGATGTTTTCGACTCAGATGCTATTATAGTTCATGCTTCATTTTCTGGCGCACAAAACTCTTTTTTATGCTTGGCAAATGACTTTTACGAAAAACCTACAAAGTTATACGAACCACCAAGTGGAAGTATTTCAGACTTTCAAGTATGGTTTACTACAGATGGAAGAAAAAGAATAATTCCATTATACCATGCGTTTTACTTAGAACTTAGTTTCATATACAACTACTATCGAACGATAAAAATATAATTTTTTAATACGGTTGAGGTGTTGGATTTGGTTGCCAACTAGACTGTGGTGCAGGTTCAGGCTGTTGTATAACAGGAGCTTGCTCTTCTGGTTCAGGGTCTTTAGGTATAATACCAACAAACTGACCTACCCTTTTACCAATATTTTTGACACCGTTCCAAATTCCTCTTCCGACAGATTTTATTCCATTCCATATACCTCTTCCAACATTTCGAAAGAAGTTTCCTATTCTTCCAAAGAAACCCATTTTACTATATGTAAAAATCTAATGTCCGCCTAGTCTCTTACGTTTCCTGTTGAGTTCCATAGCATTCTTTAACTGGAGCTCATACATTCTGTTTCTCCTCTGGTAGAAAACATATTCTGGGTCAACTCCTGTGTTCGCGTCATCTGCATAGAGTTGTTTATATCCCACTTCAGGGTTTGTATAAAACTCTTTCCATCTCATATTTGCATACCATGGTGGTAAGCCTAACGCAGCGTCATTTGACATGGCAGTTTGCATTTGTACATCTGTTGGCACTTGACCATAGTTTGCCATTGCAGTTTGTATTCTAACTTCATTTGGAATATTCTCTGGGTTTGGTTGTCCAGGTTGCTGTGCATTCGCTAAGTTCTGTGCGTCCATTTAATATTAGATAAAAATATCTCTTACGAGTACATATACTGAACATTTGCTGGCATTGGTTCATCTTCATATTCTCTGTACTTTTCTGCCACGTCAAATAAATAAATGACACAATGGAAAAAACCTAAAACAAGTAGTCCTATTTCAAACCACATTTACTTACTAATAAAATTTCTTTATTGTGACACTTTCTCCAGTTTATAGGACCTCTCTCATATTCTATCTTGTCATATATAAACTCATAGTCATGTATGTCCTCTAACCATCTCATGACACTTTCCAAACCACTTTTATCGGATGTAAAGTAAAAGCATGGATGGTTATGTAAAACGTCTAAAGTTTCTAAAGAGTCTCTCAAAGTCCAGTCTACTTGGTATTGAAAATCCCATGTGTTATAGAACGGCGGGTCTACTATAAAGAAAACATTTTCCTTGTCTTTATATTTTTCATACAACTCTGTCCAATGACATCTCACAAACTCTATACCCTCAATATATTTTTCTATGTTCTCTTTGAAAACATTTGTATAGTTAAGATATAAAACTTTTGACATAAGTGTTTCAATGTCATGAACTCTTATAGCACCACTATATAATAGTCTAGCAGATATACTATCCCAGTCAATATACTCTGCCTTTTTCAAAACCTCTCTGACAGTATTTTTCTTATCTAATGGTATACGTTCCATCTTACCTATAGGTATCTTTTCTTTTAACTCTTTCAATATATTGTTTGTGTCTGGTATATGTTTGAGACGGTCCATATAGTTGTCGAAGTCATTGCATATAATCTTTGAGTCTGGGAATATTGTATGGCACAAATGGGATATATAGAAACTTCCACCGAACAAATCTACAAATGTTAGACCATTCGGTAGTTTCTTAAGTTCTCTCAATAGAATATCTTTACATCTACTCTTATTTCCAAAGAAGGGTAACGGTGGTTTTGTAAAATTCATTTTATATATATAATAAAAATGTTTTTACCTGAAAAGTGACAGAAAAGTGACAAAACATGAAAACATATAATATTGTGTGAAAAGCGACACATTATATAATGTTTTCGACCAGAAGAAGGCTTCTTCCCAGAAGCAATGGAGGAAGAAGAAGAGTCCTCCGAATAAAAACTTCATTTATACTAAACATCTTCAGGGCTAGAGGGCACGAAGTGCCTGGAAGCCCCACTCCCTTTCTTTTTTTTTTTTTTTTTTTTTTTTTAATTACGGGTTGTTCAAATATTGATTAATATAAATTTATTAATAAGAATAAACAATTTTTGTTTTTGAATTTATTCAATTTATAGCTTTACATATAGTTTCAAAATTGTACAACTATGATTATTTCAACAAAAAATATCTTACTTTTTCACTTCACTTTCACCCTCACTTTTCCCGTAATTCAAACTTCAACACTATGTATTTTAATTCCTTATAGTATTTTTAACATAATTAATCAAATAATAATTGGAAGTTCTGAACTCACTTTTTCCGTAATTCAAAATCAAAAATATGAATAATATATCTATTTATTATATACTAATGCTATTTTCAACTAGAAGTGAGGTATGGTAATCTTACGGATTCCCGTAACTCAATTTTACGGAAAAAGTGCAGTAAACTACTCAATTTACGGAAAAGTGTCGTAAACTATTGATGTGGCGGTAAAATCACGGTAATTCACGGAAAGCTATATGCGAAAATTTGAAATTATACAAAATCGAGCGAAACACTTTTAAATAGGTTGTTCTCGTATTTAAAATACTATTCCCAGATTTATTGTCGTCAGAATATTTCCAAATTTTTGCCGATTTACAAAAAATGATTTACAAAGCATATTTTTTAATCTAAAAAATTCCTAAAAAAGGAACCGGTTCCGGTGTGCGGAAACCTCAGTAAATTACCGCGGTTCCCGTTGGGACTGTCATATGAAACTATGATTCATTTCGCATTAGCGTCAATTATAATGTGCATCTATTTTTCCAAAATTTTTCCATTTTTCATTTTTCATTATTAAATTCGCATTTTTGTCCTTAATCAAGTTTTTTTTTTGAAAAATTACTTCGTTCTAGAGCTTGATTAATGTGAACATTACTATCAATTATATAACTTAAACATTATTCACATCTCAAAAACATCATAAATCAGGAAATCATCTCGAAATTTGTTTCTATCACAACAAACAACAGGTTACGATATAAACTTCATAAGCAGAATGCAATATATAGATTTTCGTATAGCTATCCCCTTTAAACTCATTTTTGATTTAAATCTTTTCTCAATATCTTGACACGCTCAATTATCTCATTATATGTTAGGGTGGAAGAATCTACACATATGGGTAAAGGATTTGTTTGTGATAACAATCCTTTCATATAAGGAATTGAAGTAAGATTTCTTAAATCTTTCTCACTCCTAAAGTAATACAGAATTTTATATACACAACAAATTCATTGATAAAATAAAAATCAGTTTCATATAAATTAAAAAAATATAATTTTGATAATAATATAGCCAAAATGCCTCGATAGATTTCCGCGATTCCATGTATATAAGTTTCACAGCAGGTGGTAAGTATATATCCACTTACAAAATTGAAAACGGAGCAAGAAAATTTATCTGGACTACCTTTTTTCCTTTGTGGATATAAAGCTAGTTTTTCAGAAGATTTATATCGTCGTTTGCTGACTTAAAATTTTCAAAATTTTCATGTCTCATATTGATCGTTACACCTTCAATGAAGATCTTTTCCCAGTCAAGAATCACTGCCGTATACTCAATGAAGATGTTCGAAAAGAAGTAATAAAATATCTCGATGAAGAACAGAATTTCTTCAAGAAGAAAAATCTTTCTAAAATTATTGTTGAGAAGAATAAAATTGTTTATGCAATCAACAGTGACCCTAATAAGCACAGACATATCGCTATTATTGCTCAAGCTTCAAAGATCCTTCATGATAATATATTGGGTGCAAAATTATTTTTCATGCTCATGCATGCAGAAATCAATGATCCAAACATCGAAACATATGAAGATGTCGTACAAATTCTTAACATCGAAAAGTCCGTAAACATTCATCCTTTTTTAACTTTCAAATATTATTACTGCGGAAAATTTTTTTCATCAGCACTTGAAAACATAATAAATCATTTCTTTGACAATCGCCAATACGATATAACATTTGAATCCAATCGTATCACATCTGGTTATTTTTTCAACATTTATGTCGATAGCTTCTTTGGATTTTATTCTTCGGTCAGATCTCATATACTAGGTATTCGTTTGCCAAATACAGATGATTCAGAAGTTCAATTTACAGAATGAAATGTCGTGATCCAGATAACTATGGTAAGGTTATAATCGAACAAGTCACACTCAATGAAGATGGATCAATACCAAGTGTCTTTGAATGCTGTCTCAAATACCTGAAATCTTTTTATAATAAGAATCTCGAATCTGACGAGGTGCCATTAATCAATCACCAAACGCAAGATTGACCTATATTGTTAAATTCCAGAAAACTAAAATTTTTTTATTCTTATAATATGAAATTTTTATTCTCTTAAGACTTCTATATCTTGACCAAGCGGTTAGTATTGGCCCACACATGAAGCTTTTTCACTTCGAACTTAAAAAAATTTCATTAAAATATAACTTGAGCTTCAAGTTGAATTCTTTTAAATGCTCATATGTAGGGCATTATAACCTCATAGTATGAAGTCATAAATAGCAATTTTTGATTATTTGTTGTCAATACAGACGAAATAAAAAAAAATTAATATAAAAACAAGATTTATTACTTGGGGATCTTCATAGTATTTTCACACTAGTATTGGTCAATTTAAACGATTAATACGCTTTGGTTGAAAAACATTTTTTTTAATTTTCCTAAAATCTAAATTAGACCTTACATCTCGATTTTTGATTGAGAAGAAAAAGTTATGGATGCTTAGTTGGACAGCTAGTTAAGGTCCGAATCGATAAATTACTATTCAATGAGAAATGATTATGGCAGGTATTTTTCTAGTTAGTGTTTCTAGTTTGATTTATCCAACCATTGATCTCTTACGGCCACGAGAACGGACTTTCTTTAGTCTTTTCAAAATAGCAGGTGCTCTCTTGCAATGCTCTGTGTATGAGTCAAAAACTATCTTAAGTAAATCAGTTTTATCTGGATGTGATGAATTGAATGCTCTTTCCATAACATATAAATCAACAGCAAAGTCTTCTGGAAGTCCACTTTGGAAGGAAAGACCAAAATCAATAACACGGACTTTTCCATCATGAAGCATAAAGTTTGAAGTTGTTAAATCGCCATGAAGAATATCATTATTGTGTAAAGTTGCAACAATTTGACCCATTTCTTTAAGAGCCTGTATAACTTTTGGATCGTTATGATCTGTGCAGTCGAAAATCATTTGTTTTAAGCTACCTCCATTTAGTTCTTCCATAATTAACGTAGATGTTTCAGGATCAATATAAACTATTGGACATGTAGGGATTCCGAGTTGCATGCAGCGGAAATTTGTTCTTGCTTCGCTTTTAATTCTGTCAGAACGTAACATTTTATCAAGAGGAGCTGCGCGCCATGTTTTAGGTTCAAGAACTTTAGCTACACAGTTCTTACCAAAAAGTTGCATCTTCCAAATAGATGCTTCCGCTCCTCTTTTGATTTCTACCCAATTCTCTCTATTCATTTTGAGAAAATTATCGTCAAAATTTTAATTCAAATTTATATAAACTCCTATTTTATGATTCATAGGAAGCCATTCAATCGAAGTTTATTCGTTTTTCTTTTCTCTGCTAAAATGGTCCAAAAATAAGAATCAATGTGATAAAATATTACCTCATTTGGGATTATCGAAGTGATAAATTTAAGACCTTGCTTTTTTAAGTGTGAAAAAGTAACAAGAATATGAAGTGGGATGAATAACGTTTTTGGATATTTTTGATAAAACAAATAGATACAGTTTAGTATTAAATACAATTGTAATTCTCGTGATATATGGTATTAAACAAGATTAATATCATCAGTTGCTCTGCGCTTCATTGTGAAAGCAGGTCCTGTGAGCGTAGAACCAAGTTCCTTATATCCAACGCCAGGCTCTGGATCCTTTGTCTTAGGCCTAATATGCATAATTGGCTTAGGTGCCGCAGCAAGAACTGATTCAAATCTTGGAGCATAAGCACCTGGGCCAGGTGATGCGGTTTCTGCATATTTGAAGTCATGTGTACCTTTCATCTTGATACCTTTCTTTCCTGTGGCATCGAATGTATGATCTCTTGTATTAAATGCCGCAGGGCCTGGACCTGGTGTTTGAACAGTGTCCATAGCTGTCTTTGGTCTTGCTTTGATACCGTTATGCGTGCCAAATTGGTGATGCCTACTTCCGGAACCAAATGGTGGTGGAACATAGGTTGGACCAGGTGTTACAAACTTATCAGTAATTCCTGTAGTACGTCCGGAAATTGTAATCTTTGGAACTTTACCAATAGTAGAAGGAATGTTTAATAATCGAACATCATCATAAACAACTTTTTCGGTTCTTCTGCCTTTCATTTTAATCGGAGTAGTTTCGAGGCGTTTTGATATGTCATATGCTGCTGGTCCTGGAGAAGTAGCTTGGCGTTTTGAAACGTGCGCAATAAGTGGATCTCGGTCAAAAGCTTTCATAATATAAAATAACGTTTTACTGTACGTTTAATGACACTTTTATAATTGAGCAAAAAAATCTGAAAAGTGCCATTTTTAATTCCACTCAAAAATTACCAAAGTCGGTTTCAAATTTATTCATTTCATTTTTATGTCTGAAGCAATTGCCAAACTTTCTCCAGAAGCCCAAACAGCATTTAACAGATTAGAAAGCGTTGGTAAAGCTAGAATGGGAACTTTTATTATAGGCCACAATGGTGAACCAGATACAATTAAGTGCTCAAAGTTTTTTGGAAAAACCCCTTGCCTACCAGAAGAAGAATTATTCTTATGCGATGAATGCGGAGAACAAAAACATCTTCTAGTCCAGCTCTATGTTCCATCTTTACCTCCAAATGTCCAAAGGCTTTTACCAACCGAGCTTTCTGATGCTTTGTTAGTTTTCTATTATTGCTTAGAGTGCTTACCTTGTATGGGTAATCATCTTGATGTAAAAATTTATCATCCCGAAGATATCGAAAAATTAAAATACTGCAATATCAATAGAGATGAGTTGGAAGAACCAGAGATTTTTGATAGCTATACAACAGCTTTTACCTACGATCATGAATCACTTTATACATATTTTGATAATGAAAAAATCGATGATCAAGATTCAGATTATATTGTACTTGAGCTAGACAAACTCCGGGAAGACAGTTCACACTCAAATTGTTACTTTGGTGGATGTGCACATTTCATTCAAGGTGATGAATGCCCAGGACCAAACTGGAATTTGTTTTTGAACATTGAGGAAGATGAATGGAACAATTTCATGTGGGGTGATTGCGGAACTGCTCAGATATGGGTTAATTCCGTTGAGCCTAATTTTGTTTTGACATGGTCTTGCTCATAAGTTGGCATTAACATATCTTAATAAATCTTTATTTATTACCGAGTTATAGTGATATGCAGTGTTTTTCTTTGTGATTTATTAATCACAATTTGTTATACTTTTCAAAGTATTTTTTGCAAGCATAGTCGAAAATAATTCTAAAAATATTTATCTTAGATAACATCTCTATGTGTGATCACTTTAAATTTTTCAATGTCTGTTGATCAACACATTCAACCAAATAAATTCAGTGAATTGCGAAATATCTATAAAGATTATATCGATTCAATTAATGTGTTGTATCAGTGAAAAACCGAAAAAGAAGAAGAATTAATCTCAATTTACAAAATGATCAAGACAAATTTGATTGATTCAAAGAAATATCCTCCCCAAAATATTATTGAAAATATTTTAAATATCATTCCGAATAATAACCGCTATGCAAAGTCATATTTATCTCTTGCCAAACTCATAGCTGATAATTATCATGTCAAAGAGGTCAAAAGTATTCCAACTATTTCAAACTTCTTATTTTATAAAGAATATGGAATTAAATTAGACAAATCTGATGACTTCGAAAAAGATGATCTTAAAAATCTGGATATTCATACAGAGAATTCAATATACAAAACAATTATGAATAATGACAAAGAAAATTTCATCATATTCACCGAAAGAGATGGATTTGATAAAGATCAAAAACTTAATAGCGATTTATACCCATATTCATACGAAGGATATTCATTACTTGAATTATGTTGTTATCACGGATCAGTTGATTGTTTCAAGTTGTTAAGATCGAAATTTAAATCCGAAATAACTCCAGAATGTCTGGAATTTTCATTTTTAGGAGGAAATCAAGAGATCATGGGTGAATGTTTGAAATATCAAACACCAACTGAAGAATGTATGGAATATGCAATTATTTCACACAACATTGATTTTGTTACATTCTTGATGAATGAATACAATATAGAGATCGATTTAGAAGATTGCGGAATTTTCAATAATCTTGAATCCTTTTTAGTTTATTTCGATCAAACTAATGATATAAACAAATGCTTTGTTTATACATTACGGTTCAATATTCCATCACTTTATGAATATTTCCTTTCACTTGGTGCAAACATCAATGGAAAAAATGAATGCGGTCAAACCGCACTTCATATTGCAGCAATGTATAATAGAAAAGAAGCAGCGGAATTTCTTATTTCGCATGGTGCAAACATCAATGGAAAAAATGAATGCGGTCAAACCGCACTTCATATTGCAGCAATGTATAATAGAAAAGAAGCAGCGGAATTTCTTATTTCGCATGGTGCAAATATCAATGAAAAAAATGAATATGGAGAAACCGCACTTTATACTGCAGCATGGAACAATAGTAAAGAAATTGCTGAACTTCTTATTTCACATGGTGCTGATATCAATGAAAAAAATATATGCGGACTAACTACTCTTCATATTGCAGCAAAGAACAATAGTAAAGAAACAGCTGAACTTCTTATTTCATATGGTGCAAATATCAATGAAAAAGATATATGCGGACTAACTGCTCTTCATATTGCAGCAAAGAACAATAGTAAAGAAACAGCCGAACTCCTTATTTCATATGGTGCAAATATCAATGAAAAAAAGAAGAATATTGGACCCATGGTTCTTCATTATGCATTTAATTTGATAAAATGTTGCATATGATTCAGTGGGAAAGAAGCAATATAGAAAATAAGAACTTAACTATAAATTGAACTATTATAAATTCATTGAAATTTTTACTTTTCCGAATTCGCATGCTAAACATCATCATTTCTGCATAAAATCATATGAATGATTATGTAATTGGGTCCTTTTTTTGAAGTGATTGGTATTCCAATATACTGTAATTCTACATAACAATGGAAAAAAAAGTTTCAAATGACTTTTCATTTCTATATGAAAGGACTATTTGTTGATATTGTCTCATCAATTATTTCAAACAAATCGTATTAGAAGATATTAAATATTATAAAATTTTATAAATATATTTTAGAATGAAACAGGTGATTCATCTTCGAAAGGTCTTAACATTTCAAGGATATCATTATGAATATCTTCTGCCTTGTGTCCTTCAATCAAAGCCGTTCTGCAAATTGGACAAATTTCATTTGTCATTGCAGTTTCTTCGAAATCTTCATCATCCAAAATAACACCGCATGTCTGACAAACGTGGACACAAGTCAAAGTCTGGTTGTACCACAACTGTGGTTTCACACCAGCCTTCTTCTTCAATGACTGAACAACAAACAATTCAGCAGGTTGTTCAATCAAAAATCTCTCTGATACATTGTCAGCAGGAATTTCAGATTGGCTTGCAATTCCTGGTTCGATTTGGATGAGTTGTTCTGGTTCTCTTTGTTCCTTTGGCGAAGGAGTATAAGTGAAAGCTACTAAAGGAAGAGGTCTGCAAGAATGAGCTGAAAAAGCCAATCTCATTCCGCAATTTCCGCAACACAAGATTGGCATTTTTGCACTTGTATAAATGTCTTTCTTGCATCTTGGACAATTGAATGTTATTTGTTGATCTTGAGCTTCTTTACTTGCTCTTGCTGCTCTTTGAACAATTTGCTTTGTTTTCTCATCGAGTTTAAATGCTTGGATTTCTTTAATTGCGTATGTCAACCATTTCTTCATTCCAAGAGCAGAAGAACTGACTAACAACTGCACTAAAACATCCAAAACATTCACTCCTAAAAGAGGAAATTCAGCAATACAAGCCAACAAATAATAACTCATTTGGAACAATCGAATTGAGTCATCTAAACTCATTGGTAACAATGTCATGTTCCTTAAATGATGAGCTGTCATATAAGCAGTAGTTCTCTGGAATAATCTCCAATAAGAATCACTATCATTAAATGCATGCATCAAAAACAAAAATGATAATTGGTCGAATGCTTTTGATATCGAACAACAATCGACCATTTTTTGTAAACTTGCGTTTCTATCATCATGTTTTTCAGGAATAAAGAAACAAACTAAACTCTCGAAGTATCTACCGCTTTCAAACAATAATTCTCCGAATCTTGGATACACGATATTATAAACACTCGCGTATAATCTTGACAAAGAAATCGCTTCAACCCATTGACCTAAATAAACTCTTGCTTTTGCAAGGTTTTCGTGGTTCTGAGATCTTGTCAATAACCTGATTGCTCCTTCTCCTAAACCAGCACTTAACAAAACTTTAGCAGCTTTTTCAGTGTGTTCTTCAGGGAACGCGTAATCAACAATTGCTCTTTCTAAGTGTTTCGATTCTGCCAATCTGAAAACATCATCCCATTCGCCGCATTCCGCGTAAGCTGCCAATGCTTCTTCTTGTGCACCTGACTTTTCAAGTTCAATGGCTCTGTATTTTGCAGGATTTGAACCACTTTGGCTTTCATTTGTTTCTGAAGTGTCACTTTTATTTTTAGATTTTTTATTGTAACTTTCATCACCTAAGAAAATTGCGATTGTATCATTTACATTTTCATGAGGTGTTGAAGGTAAAACTTCATTAACAAAGAAGGACATTGACTTAGAAATATCAGGAGAAATGAGTTTTGCAATCTCAAATTTTTTGTTTTTAATTGCTTCTTTGGCAACAAAAGTTAATTGGTCTTCTGATGGTCCAACGTCGCAAAGTCTTTTAACTGAATCCCAGTCTTCTCTTTCTATGAGTTCTTTAAGAGGTAATGGTGCATCGACTGTTTCCAAAGCTCCTTCATTTGTCAAAATAACTTTATTTCGAACAAATGCCAAAATATCGCCTTCAATGAATTGTGTAATTGGCTTGCAATCTTTGTAATGAATTGTTACTTCTGTACCATTACTTGTCGCTAAAAGTCCTTCAACTCGATCGGAATAAGCCATTGATCTGACATTTTCTAACATCTCTATCGTCTTTCTCTCAAAAGAATCGTAAATTCCACATTCACCATTTTTGCCTCTAACCGTTACGATCAAACCGCTTCTTATGGCATCAGCAACAGAAGAAGTGTGTCTTGCGAGGAGAACAGGCTCTTTCATGTCCATCATTACGAAGTAGACACGTGAATCTGCACATCCGACAATTACTCCGTCATTAAATGCAGATGTTGTCCGAAGTGAAGTGATGTTGGCAGAAAAAGTGAAACCAGGAAGTCTACAACCGGTCAAATCATAGAAAGCGAGTTGTGTTCCTTCAGCGGATATGATATGGATCCTTGTAATAGCGAAAAGAGACTTCTCGAAGTTACCAGGAATCTCATTTATCTTTTCAACAATTAATTGGCCACCATTTTGGGCGTCGATCGAGTATTTGTAGGTAATAACGCTATCTTTGAACTGTACAAGAAGGAAACTCGATGACATAGTGGTAGATGCGATGATTTTGTTGAATGCCATATCTTTTGTATGTCCGCTGATGATGTTTTTGATTACCATTGAGTTCACACTGTTTCTGTAGGCAACAACATCCCCGGCTGATGCAAAAGCAATGCCGAAATCGATACTTCTTAGTTCGACATATCCTTCTTTTGTTGCTATTGCAACTCTGCCACGTTTGTCAACGGCAATGTCCCAGATCCAGTCACTGCCGCTCTGGAAGTCACCAAGATATGATAGAGATGAAGTTAATAATGAAACCTTTCCGGATATACCGGCAAAAGCAAAGAAAAATGAGCTATCACCAACTGATGAGCAACATAGAGCTTCAAAAGGTATTGAGTTCTTGCCGACAAGTGTTTTATCGCTTATTCTGTACATTGATACTCTGCAATCTAAATCTGATGTAACTAAATAGTCTTTATTGTCAATAGTACTGAATTTCATAGTTGTTACGATCGATGGGTATGTAAATGTTTGAAAAACTTCTTGTGTTTCGACTGAAACTACGTGTAAAATACCATTATCGAATGATAAGACGAATGTATCACCTTGTGGTGAGAAAGCAATCGAAAGAATTGGAAATTGAACTTCTACAGGAGCAGCAGCTGTATCTTCTGGCTTCCATATTCTATATTCTTTCTTTGCAACAGAAATAAGTAGCTGTTTCGATGGGCACCATTCTAAACATGTCGCAGAATCAGAGCTACCATATGATACGTAGCCTTCATTATTTAATGATCTCCAAATTACAACTTTTCCATCAGAATCACATGATGCAAAGAAAGTTCCATCTGGAGAACATTTCACACAGTAAATTGTGGCATGATGTGCTCTTTTTTGTTCGATAATTTCTCCAGTGTCTGGAGATAAGAAGAATAAGTCATTAGAATAGGACGCAATCAGCTGTGAATAATCTGGTTTATAGCAAAGTGATCTAACAGCGATTTTGTCCATTGGTTTTTGAAATGGAGTCTTCCAAATCGTACGGAAGTCCATTTTGTATACGTTTTCTATTTTTTACCTAAAAAAATGTTTACAAAATGAATTTGAGCGTTTAATTGTGTGCAATTGATTACAATTGAAGTTAGCTATTAGAAGATTAATTTATTCTCAATTTGAGTAAAAAATTGATTGAGCAAAATAAAAAACTAATAATTGCTTTGTAAATCATTCTAAAATCAGCTAAACAACAAATATTTTCTTCTATCAAAGGCTATCAATAATAAATTTCACAAGTATAATGATACAATATAATTAATTTTCGTAAACTCTTTTCCATATGGAAAGCGTCGACACTCCTCAATAGTATCAATATTTCTGTATCGGACGCGAAGGATATGGTTTCAAGTTTATAACACTGGACCGAGTTTTCAAGCTTGATTTTGTTACATTCTTGATGAATGAATACAATATAGAGATCGATTTAGAATATTGCGGAATTTTTAATAACCTTGAATCCTTTTTAGTTTATTTCAATCAAACTAATGATATAAACATTCCGCTATTTAATATTCCATCCCTTTTGGAATACTTCCTTTCACATGGTGCTGATATCAATGAAAAAAATAAAAATGGAGAAACCGCACTTCATAATGCAGCTCGGAACAATCGTAAAGAAATTGCTGAACTTCTTATTTCACATGGTGCTGATATCAATGAAAAAAAAATAAAAATGGAGAAACCGCATTTTATACTGCAGCTCGGAACAATCGTAAAGAAATTGCTGAACTTCTTATTTCACATGGTGCTGATATCAATGAAAAAAAAAATAAAAATGGAGAAACCGCACTTTATACTGCAGCTCGGAACAATCGTAAAGAAATTGCTGAACTTCTTATTTCACATGGTGCTGATATCAATGAAAAAAAAAATAAAAATGGAGAAACCGCATTTTATACTGCAGCTCGGAACAATCGTAAAGAAATTGCTGAACTTCTTATTTCACATGGTGCTGATATCAATGAAAAAAAAATAAAAATGGAGAAACCGCACTTTATACTGCAGCTCGGAACAATCGTAAAGAAATTGCTGAACTTCTTATTTCACATGGTGCTGATATCAATGAAAAAAAAATAAAAATGGAGAAACCGCATTTTATACTGCAGCTCGGAACAATCGTAAAGAAATTGCTGAACTTCTTATTTCACATGGTGCTGATATCAATGAAAAAAAAATAAAAATGGAGAAACCGCATTTTATACTGCAGCTCGGAACAATCGTAAAGAAATTGCTGAACTTCTTATTTCACATGGTGCTGATATCAATGAAAAAAAAAAATAAAAATGGAGAAACCGCATTTTATACTGCAGCTCGGAACAATCGTAAAGAAATTGCTGAACTTCTTATTTCACATGGTGCTGATATCAATGAAAAAAAAAATAAAAATGGAGAAACCGCATTTTATACTGCAGCTCGGAACAATCGTAAAGAAATTGCTGAACTTCTTATTTCACATGGTGCTGATATCAATGAAAAAAAAATAAAAATGGAGAAACCGCATTTTATACTGCAGCTCGGAACAATCGTAAAGAAATTGCTGAACTTCTTATTTCACATGGTGCTGATATCAATGAAAAAAAAATAAAAATGGAGAAACCGCACTTTATAATGCAGCATGGAACAATTGTAAGGAAATTGCTGAACTTCTTATTTCACATGGTGCTGATATCAATGAAAAAAAAAAATAAAAATGGAGAAACCGCATTTTATACTGCAGCTCGGAACAATCGTAAAGAAATTGCTGAACTTCTTATTTCACATGGTGCTGATATCAATGAAAAAAAAAATAAAAATGGAGAAACCGCATTTTATACTGCAGCTCGGAACAATCGTAAAGAAATTGCTGAACTTCTTATTTCACATGGTGCTGATATCAATGAAAAAAATAAAAATGGAAAAACAGCACTTTATATTGCAGATTTGCTTGATCATGAAGAAATAGTTGAATTCCTTATTTCGCATCGTGCAAAAAAATAATGTTCTTATATAAGACAATTAAATTGCATGAAGCCAATATTATTATTTTTCATTGAGAAAAATTAAATTGCATGAAGACAATAAATTGAATCTTATAACCATAATAAAGTTTGACAAAAAGGAACCAAATAAGAAAGGATAGACTCCACTTTTCGTAGTAGAAAAGTATCGGGTTAATAGCGTTTGTGATTTTATTTATAATACTTATTATAATTAGTTCAACATTAAACTTTAATATTGCAAATGAATTTTTTGCAAAGTTATTGGCAAAAGAATATATAATTAACTAAAGTCCTTTTAATTACAATTGAAAAAGATGAACAAATATATATGATTAAATTTATAAACAAATAAAAGACAATATATAAAGATAGATTTGTTACTGGAAGAATTGTGTAGCAATAAGTTCTGGGAATTCGTCGTTTCCAATTGGACCAGCAAATTCCAAAATGGCTTTGTTCTGCGGATCGATTAAGTTCTTCTTCGTGAACTCCTGGTCGACACCTTCGATATTTTCCAATCCAATAGGAGGAAGAAGTTCCTTCTGGTTGTTTTCGAACGTGAGATTTCCTAACTTGGACATAAGGAATCTAAGTTCTTTCTTACGACCTTCAAATGTATTGAAAACTTCATGAAATTGAACATATTCATCTGCATGAGGTTGATCAATAACTTGGAGGATTTTAACAATTGATGTACATAGTGTATTAACAGAATCATCAAAGAAAGCATTCAAAAGCTGTTCTCTATCAGGTTTAGAATTCTCATTTGCTTCTCTTTCGGAAGTTTGAAGTTCTGGTACTACTGATGCTTTCGGAGATTCTTTTGCTGATGGTTTCTCTTGTTCTTCGTTGTCAGAAACTTCTTCGCTCTCAGCATCAATTTTTAATTTCTGATCGTGAGCTTTTAGTTCATCAACGAATGTTCTAATGGTAGCATCATTCTTAGAGATGCGTTTTTGTAATGAATCACATTCACTTTGAAGTAAATCTCTGTTCATATAAAGTTGTTTGTTTTTCTCCATCAATTCTGTATTTCTTTCTGCAATAGCCTTGGATTTCTTGACTTCGTTAGTAAGTTTTGTCTTCTCAGCATCCTTTTCGATCATCATTTCTATAACTGTATTTTCTAAATTTTCTTGTGTCATCGAACGATTCTTTGCTTCTTCACGCATAACACTCTCCTTGAGTTCTTTTTCATGTCTGCCAACAAGATCTGAGTATTCTGCATGAGCTTGTGACATTTGGATACCTTGATGTTTTGATTCTGTTTTCATTGTCTGTTCTGCCTCAGCAATTTCACGTTTGAGCTGATTTTCAAGAGCTGCAACTGTTGCAAGAGAATCACGTCTGGTTTTGTTTGCTTTTAATGTGTTTGTTAATTGAGTTAATTCGATATCTTGGGATTGCTTTAATTTATCGAGTTTTGATTGGAGATCTGTTAATAAATTTTTATAGCGCTCGCGAGTATCTTGTAATTTCTTTTCGTAATACTGTTTCTTGCGATTTTTTTCGTTATGTTTCATTGAAAGATAAGCTCTTACATCTTGAGCGTCAGCATAGAACTGCATTTGTTTATCTTCGGTTTTTCTTCTTTTAACTATTTCTTGGTCGGCTAATTCGCGATTTTTTTCTGTCGCCTCTTCAGTTGCTTTAATTTTGTTCTGAAGAAAGTCATTTTCGAACATGACGAAGTCGACATCCATATCTCCAGTTCTTTTAATTTGCGTAATTGGGCGTGCAGCGCGTCGAGGAGGCATTTATACTTTTTTTTATATTTCGGGGGATAATGGTGTAATACACCCAAAATCACGTTTACAAAAATTTATTTTTATAATAAAAAAAATGGGAAACTTTTTCCATGGGACAGACTTTAATGTGTTGGTTGTTGGACTCAATAGTGCTGGCAAGTCGACAATTATAAACAAGTTAAAACCAGAAATATGTCAGCAAAAATCGATAAATCCTACAAATGGCTTTGAAACACCTTGGATTCCATTCAAAAACTACTGCCTAAAGTTTAAGGATATGGCAGGGTCAAGTAATTTCCGCCCATTATGGCAAAATCACGCAGACAATCTCGATGGTATCATATTCGTTGTAGATTCAAGTGATCAAACACGATTTTCTACTGCAAAAGAAGAACTTCATGCATTACTAGCTCTTGGTCCAATCCAATCAAAACCAATTCCGATTTTAATTCTTGCTAATAAAAATGACCTTGAAGAAAGCGCACCGAAAGAGGTTATTGAAAAAGCTCTTGATCTCCAATCTATTGCAAACCATGCAACAAACATTTTAAGTGTATGCGCTCAATATCCAAAGGAAATATTCTTAGGTTTAGAATGGCTTATCATGAGAAAAGCTAACTAATTCCATATTTTCATGTCTTCAATATTTATGTTAATAAAACTCAGCTTATAATATTTATTATTTTTCTAAGTGTTTCATATTACATATACTGTGAATATTTTCAAATTAATGTGGCATTACATCATATATCATAGATTTGGTTTTAAATATATGAAAATAATGAATAATTTTTCAATATTCAGTTATCATCTCTCAATGAATAAGGATATACCTCATATTCCAGTAAATAGTTGCGTACAATGTGATAAAAACATATAATAATATCTCTGAAGAACAAAAAGATCGTAAATAATGGGGAAAATATTACATTAACTTTATTAAATCAAAATTATCATATAGAGTAAGTGATTTTCATATATGAAAACAATTAAAAATCTCAACAAATTTTATAATGAAAAAATTACTTCTATTTAGCAATGTATAAAAAGGTATTGAAGTTAATGTACCTTTGACATTTATTGTACTGATAGTAAAGAAGAAAATAAGTGATATTGTTTTCTAGCATTTACGTTTAGAAAAAAAATATGCATCAAGAATCTCAGTTTCTAAGGCAAGATATTGCAAAACAAAAAGTGCAACTTTCCCGCACTGGTTCTCTTATATTTAAAGACATGCAAATACCTACAATTGATATCGGCGTTCAAAAATCTCTAATTATTCTTGAAGTTTCGGATACAGACTTAAAATCTTTTGAAACATTGAAACCACAGCCTAGCCTTAAAGAAATTTGTGTTACAAATTGTCCAATCTCTAATTTCAGAGGTTTAGGACAACAAACAAAATTATCAACAATTAATTTTGTTAATACACCGATCAGCGAACAGAAATTCTTCCGCTTAGCATGCCTGGTTGCCGTTGGACCAAAACTTTCTTCAATAAATAACGTTGCTGTTACAAGAACAGAAAGATTAAAAGCAGAATGCTATCCACCAATTACTAAAAAGCTTCTTGATGAAGGTTGGATCCTTCAATATCCTATTCCTTCAAAAGAAGACTTCAAATTTGCAGCACAAAAGTTTAATATTAATTACGAAGAGAGTGAATTAGAAGTTAACAAATACGATAACATTTCTGCAAGCCCTATTGCAAATAGAAACAAGAAATCCAAGCAGCCAGAGAATAACCAAAGTTTTGTAGAAAAAGCAGCTGAAGTGCTATTACCATTAGGATTTCATATCCGTTCTGGTGAGAATATGATAGATGATGTATTAGAATCTGTTGATACTCTTGTCCAACTTGCTGCAAGTGCTGAAAAAGCAGCAGATGAAGCAGAAGAAGAGGAAGAAGAAGAGGCCAAAGAGAACAAAAGCCAACAGTAACATGTATAAGTTCAGTCAAATTAATGTAAATGTGAGAATTTTTATAACGTTTTCGAAATTATTTCTACTTAAGTGGGGAACTTTGATATTTTTTTTTCAAACAATAATAGTTTCACTTTTTGCATATGGACTATCTATTGATGCTGGCAAGAAAATAGAAAGTGAAATCAATTCTTTGTTTTTTCTATAGGTATTGTTTTTTATAGCCTGACTTCGCATCTTCATATAAAATAATGACGTTAATATAGAATATTATTGTGTTGATGATGGCCATTCAATGTTGACGTCATCTCTTAATTTTTATACGAGTAATCATACATTTTTGTAAGAGTTAACTAGTTTAAAACATAATATTGTTTCCATGGATGATAAGAATTTCAATAAAATGCATTAATAGCAATAGATTTGTTCAAATATGTGATTTTAAATAACATAATAGCATATTCTCATTCATTTTGCTGTCTCTCAATATCAGATCCATTATCCGAAATCTTTAGAATTGATCAAAAAAGAAACTCTATGTCTAATGTTTGGTATCAAGAGCTAATGAGTTTGTGCAAAGATTATAATGATACATTTGTTTCTTTGTACAAACTCAAAACATTTCAGGAAGAAGCAATTCAAGGCGTTTATCAAGCAATCAAAATTAATATAGTCGAATCAAAAATATTATCACCGCAGCAAATTCTTGAACTAATCAACATAGCATCCAATTATAATTTTTGTTATATAAAATCCTATTTATCAATTGCAAAGAAGATTTATGATGACTATCAGCCAAAACAAGTTAAAATAAGCTCAAATAGATTTAAGTACTTATTCTATAAAGAGTATGGAATCATTTTTGAAGATACAGATTTAACACTTTTCAAAGAATATGAATCGAAAAATTATTTTTCGTACGTTTTTGATAAAAACACAATATACAACGCAATAGCGAATGATGATGTAAAACAATTTATTTCATTTTCCGAAATAGGAGAGAATTTTGATTATTCTCAAAAATTTCTATCTGAAGATGACAGAGGATACGATTTAGTTGAGTTATGCTGTTTGTATGCTTCTGTTAATTGTTTTAAATTTTTAAGGACAAAATTCAATGTTTCTCTCACCTCGGAATGTCTTCAATATTCTTTTTTGGGTGGAAATCCAGACATAATGAGTGAATGCTTGAAAAACAGTAGACTTCAAAGTGATTGCATGGAATATGCAATTATTTCTCACAACATTGACTTTGTTACTTTTCTGATGAATGAATACAGATTAGAGATTGATTTAGAAATGTGTGCAAGATACCAAAATCTACAAGCATTTTTAGTTTTCTTGGATAAAACTAAGAATATCAACTTATGCTTCATTTATTCACCCATTTTCTCTATCCCATCTTTATGTGAATATTTTATTTCGCATGGTGCTGATGTTAACATCGGCAGAAATACGCTGGCTGCTATTCATATGGCTGCAATTTATAATTGTACACTAATAATCGAATTCCTTTTTTCACATGGAGCAGATATTAATATAAGGGATTCTAATGGATACACGCCTCTTCATTATACATCTCATATTGATAGCAAAGAAGCAGCAGAACTTCTTATTTCTAATGGTATTGATATTAATGCAAAATCTAAGCAAGGAGAGACAGCTCTTCACATTGCAGCACAAACAAATGCCATAAATACTGCTAAAATCCTTATTGCACATGGTGCAAATATCAATGAAAAAAATGATTTTGGAAAAGCTCCTCTACATCTCTCGTCGGAAAAAGATTATAAGGAAATGGTTGATTTTTTAATTACAAATGGAGCTAATATCAATGCTCTAGATAATGATTGGTAAAGATTCCATTCATCTAGCAGTAGAAAACAATAGTAAAGCTGCAGCGGGAATACTTATTTCACATGGGGTAGATATCAATTCAAAAGATAAAATCGGAAATACTCTTTTGCATATTGCAGTTGCAAAAAATCTTCCAATCGCAGAATTTTTAATTGCTCATGGAGCAGATGTACATGCCAAAAATAAAATAGGTCACACAACCCTTCATTTTGTGTCAGATGATAATATTCAAATAGTTTTGACACTTTTTACGGGCTTATAAAATAAGCCCGAAAAAAAGTATCAGAACTATTAAAATATGTATTCACACTTTTTATCGGCTTGCAGCTTCTCAGAAAAAGTGTGAAACATATTTTGAATATGTAAAGCACTTCTTGATCACGGGGCTGATATCGATGAAAGAGATAAAAATGGAAAAACTCCTTTGCATTATTCAGTAGGTTATTGTAATTCAATTAGTCCACAAGATTTCCATATATTGCGTGGTGCAGATATCGAAGCGAAAGATAAAAATGGAAGAACTCCTTTGCATTGTGCAGTACTTTATTGTGATTCCACTCGTCCACAAGTTTGCCTTATATTGCGTGATGCAGATATCAAAACGATAGATGAATATTGGATAACTCATTGTCGTATTCCAATTGAAATAAGAGATACAATTTTTGCACAAAATCTCTTATTACGTGGTGCAAATATCAATGCAATTGATAATTATGGAAAAGCAGCTATTCATTATGCAGCAGATTGCCGAATTGGTGATACGTTTATAGAATTTCTTATTAACCATGGTGCTGATCCAGATATAAGAGATAATAATGGTCTAACAGCACTTCATATAGCATTAAACGCAAATGAACATATAAATATTACTAAATTGTTATCTCACGGTGCGAACATCAACATCAAAGATAATAAGGGAAATGTTGCTCTTTTTTATGCATTTTCTCGCAGGGCTAATATTAATGAGTTTTATATATTAATATCTTATGGTGCAAATACCAATACTAAAGATAATCGGGGAAGAACCCCTCCTTCATTATGCAGTAACACTCAAAGATTTTCATGACATTGCAAAATTTTTGATTACACAAAAAATTTATATCAATAGCAAAGATATTAATGGCGAAACCCCTCTTCATTTGGCAGTAAGTAATAAATGCTATGAAGGAGTGGAACTTCTTATTTCACATGGATGTAATATCAATGCTACAAATGAATTAGGAGATACAGCACTTCATATTGCCTTATCAAAAAATCATACAAAAATTGCAGAAATTCTGATTTCATATAAAGCGAGCGTAAAAATTAAAAATAGCATTGGAGAGATTTCACTTCATAAAGCCGCAAGAAAATGCAGTCGTTATATAATAAACCTTCTTATATCTCATGGTGCTGATATTAATTCCAAGAATAAATACAATGATACGGCTCTTCACATTGCAGCAATGTTTAATAACACTGATTCAATAGAGTTTCTTATTTCCGAAGGTGCTGACATCAATTCAGTAAACAATGAGAATAGAACAGCTCTTCATTATGCCTCAAGCAACCGATATTGCATAGAAACAGTAGAATTTCTAATATTACATAATGCTGATATCAATTTAAGGGATAATAAAAGTCAAACACCTCTTGACATTGCAGCATATAACAATAATACCGAAATAGCACAACTTCTTATTTCCCATGGAGCTAAATGAAATAAATTAGGCATTTTTACAACATTTTTTTTAAAAATCTAAATGAATGATCTTAAGAGCAATGCCAATCTTTGTAACAATCGTTCTGAACTAATATTTTAAAAACATCTGCATTTTCCTCTTTAGCAATTTACCGATAAATTTTCTGACAACTGTCACTTTTTTGCATAGCCAAAATGGTTATTATTTATCAAATCAAGGATTACACAATTTTTGTAGGTGTTGACCAGTTTGAAAATGAAGATCTTATTAAGTACTCAGCAAAATACATGGAGAATCTTGAAGACAAGTTAATTTGGTTCCATGCAGATAAATTTTCAAGTCCGCACGCTTACATCAAGATGCATCCAGGCGACACTGAAATCCCAAAGAATTTAATCGACATTTGCTGCCAAATTTGCAAAGATGGTTCAATTAAAGGCTGCAAAGAACCAGCAATCGATGTTGTTTATTGTGAAGCCAAGAATTTATCAAAAGCTCACTGCAACAACCCAGGCCAAGTCACTTTCCACGACCCATCCGCTTGCAAATACGTCAAAGGCGTCAAAAAGAACAATTTAATCGTCAATATGCTTGCAAAGATCAAAGGCGAAACATCGCTTACCGAAATGAACAAGGACCTTGATGATCTCATTGTCAATAGAAGAAATGCAAAGAAGGCAGAGTTCAAGGCTCAAAAAGAAGCCGAAATAAAGGAAATCCAAGACAAGAAGCAGGCCAAGTACGATATGCTCCAGGGTATGACACAGGCTGATGGAATCATGGATGAAGATGACTTCATGTAAGAAAAATAAAAATGTTACTTTCAAAACTCTAATTTATCTTTTTTGAATAATAAAATACCAAATCCCTTGATCCATTATTAAATACGGTATTTCTTTTCTCAATAATTTTCCATCATGTCTCAAAATCCTGTCAATTCAATAAAATGATATTATAAAATGAATATACTGTTCCTGTATATTTGGAATGTAGTAATAATTTTGATATTTGTGTTTGATTTCTTCTGGCATAATTACTGCCATTGCTTAAAAATGGCTATATTTTTCACCAACGAAAATCTCATAATATGATATTTCTGGATTTGCTTCCGGAACAGTGAATTTTTTCAGACTTTTTTATCGGCAAACCCAAATTTTAGCTAAAAGTGACAGGGAAAAAAACGTTTAGTATTAAAAAAAAGACCGATGAGAGCTTCGTTCGAAATATAGAGGGAACTGAGAATGCGCAACCATTCTCAGGGAATATTGGATGCTATTCCCGTTCCCTCTGTATGGAAAATTGAGGTTTTCAAAGGGAGTTAAAATAATATCAAATTTATACTAATTTACTTCAAAATACAAAAGTATTTGACAGCTAAAATTAGTTACTTTAGCAAGCCTATCAATACCCTTTTACGATTATTGTTACTTTTTCTAAATAAAAGTAAAAACAAATTTATACTAATTTACTTCAAAATACAAAAGTATTTGACAGCTAAAATTAGTTACTTTAGCAAGCCTATCAATACCCTTTTACGATTATTGTTACTTTTTCTAAATAAAAGTAAAAACAAATTTATACTAATTTACTTCAAAATACAAAAGTATTTGACAGCTAAAATTAGTTACTTTAGCAAGCCTATCAATACCCTTTTACGATTATTGTTACTTTTTCTAAATAAAAGTAAAAACAAATTTATACTAATTTACTTCAAAATACAAAAGTATTTGACAGCTAAAATTAGTTACTTTAGCAAGCCTATCAATACCCTTTTACGATTATTGTTACTTTTTCTAAATAAAAGTAAAAACAAATTTATACTAATTTACTTCAAAATACAAAAGTATTTGACAGCTAAAATTAGTTACTTTAGCAAGCCTATCAATACCCTTTTACGATTATTGTTACTTTTTCTAAATAAAAGTAAAAACAAATTTATACTAATTTACTTCAAAATACAAAAGTATTTGACAGCTAAAATTAGTTACTTTAGCAAGCCTATCAATACCCTTTTACGATTATTGTTACTTTTTCTAAATAAAAGTAAAAACAAATTTATACTAATTTACTTCAAAATACAAAAGTATTTGACAGCTAAAATTAGTTACTTTAGCAAGCCTATCAATACCCTTTTACGATTATTGCTACTTTTTCGAAATAAAATAAATTTATTATCAAAAACTTTTTTTATCGGACAGTAACCTCTAAATAATTCATTTATATTGCTAAATATTTATTTAATAAGAATGATGAAACTATAACCATTATTTTTTGAGAACTCATTGAATTTTTTTTTCAAAAAAATAGAATGATTCTTTTTAATACTCTAAGTCTAGCAAGAACAAACGCTATTCTGAAAAAATCGGTACTATTACAATCAACATATTCTCGTTTATATGCTAAATCCCAAAAATCTAAATCATCAAAAGCTGGATCTTTAACTGTTGATCCACCACAGCCGTGGGGACCGATTCCAACACAAGGACAAATCAATTACCATAGAGAAGAACTTTCCGCATTCATTCACTATGGCATGAACACATTTACAGGAGTTGAATGGGGTAATGGCCATGAAGATGAGAATTTATTCGTTCCTGATGGATTGAATACAGACCAATGGGTTGCAACACTTAAGAAAGCCGGTTTTAAGAGAATTATTATGATTGGACGTCACCATGATGGATTTTGCCTCTGGAAGTCCAATTACACCCAACACCAAGTTAATGCAAGTAAGCAATTCCAAGAAACATCCAAGAAATTAGGTCAATCTGGTGATGTTATTGAAGAATTGTCAAAGAGTTGCTCAAAGTATGACATGAACATGGGAGTTTACTTATCTCCATGGGATGCCAACTCCAGTTATTATGGAAATGAGCAACTTTACAATGAATATTACATGAACCAGCTCAGTGAAGTTCTTGGAAGTGCAGACAAGCGCTATGGTAACAAAGGCAAGTTTGTTGAAGTCTGGATGGATGGCGCTAAAGGAACAGGTGCGGCAGATCAAAAGTATTGGTTCTTGAAATGGTTCGAACTGATTGAAAGATTACAACCAGGAGCTGTTGTCTTCTCTCCATACGGTTCAACTGTTCGTTGGATTGGAAACGAAGCAGGTCACGCTGGCGAAACTTGCTGGTCCAAATTAAACCAGACAAGACAAAGAGCATGGTACGATAAGACCGGTGGTGATGAGCCAGCATATCTTAATGCAGGTGATCCAACAGGAGATATTTGGTCTATCGGTGAATGCGATGTTTCATTAACTTCAGGATGGTTCTGGAAAGCAGGCAAAGTTCCAAAGACAATGCAAGAACTCTCTGATTTATACTTCAAGTCCGTTGGCCGTGGTCAGCCATTCTTATTAAATGTTCCACCAAATACAACCGGTTTAATGGATCAGGCCTTCCTTAACAGAGTTGCCGAGCTTGGAGACACAATTGACAAGACATTCTCTCTCAACTTTGCTTCAACACCAACTGCATCTGCAACAGCATCAAGCTACAGAGGAAATGATGACAAATACAGTCCAAAGAATGCAATTGATGACAAATTCGAGACATACTGGACAATGGATGATGACAAGAAGACAGGATGGATCGAAATTGATTTAGGACAAACAAGAAAATTCGATATCGTTTCAATTTCTGAACATATCGAACTTGGCCAGCGTGTTGAGAAGTTCCTTGTTGAATACCAAGCAGAAAATTCACAGACATGGAACAAATTCGAAGAAGGAACAACAATTGGCGCTAAGAGATTATGTCGCCAAATTGCAGTAACAGCAAGAAAAGTTAGAATTACAATTGTTTCATCACAAGCTGTTCCTATCATTGATAAGATTGGTGTATACAAGGCTTATGGTGAGTTCGAATTAGGATCAGGAATTCCTGATGGTTTAGTCGAAGTTTTGTCTGATAAATTCATTTTGGCTGATAGATGGAACCATGAAAGTGAAGGAATTTGGACAACAAAGGTTGCTGCTTTTGCACAATATGAATTTACTGGCTCCAAGTTCTTTGTTTATGGTATTGTTGATCCAAGTCATGGCCATGTCGATGTTTTTGTTGATGATCAGAAAGTAGATACTTTCGATTCACATGCCTCTGAAAGAAAATTACGTCAATTACTCTTCTCTTCACCAGACTTTGCTTATGGAAAACATACAGTAAGATTAGTTCTTGTTGATAAGGCAATGGCACTTCATTCTCTTGAATTACTTACAAATGAAGGCCGTGGTATGTTTGAAATCGAAAAATTAGATTATGATGTACCAAAAGGTGGCAAATTCCAACTCAAGATTAAGAGAGTTGGCGGTGTAGATGGTGAATGTAAAGTTACATTGCAAACAACACATGGATCTGCTGTTCATGACAGACATTATGAAGATATAACACTTGATTTAGAATACAAACAAAATGAGAATGAAAAGACTGTTTTTATCCATACAATCAATAACACAGAAACAACAGGAAATCTTACATTCTTCTGCCAAATTGTTGATCCAACAAACAAAGCAATTATTGGATATAACCAATTATCAACTGTTACAATATACAACGGAAAGGTTCCTCCAGAGGCATTGATTAAAGTAACAGCTGATAAATTCACAACATCTGGCGAATGGCATGATTTCGATGAATCAAATGGAGCTGAAAATGGAATTTGGTCAGAAGTCAATGGATCGTATGCTGAATACACATTCTCAGGTACTAAATGCTACGTATTTGGAACAACAGGAAAGAAAGATTCCTTTGTTGAAGTTTATGTCGATGGTGTCAAGGCCAGATCATTCTTTGTCTTTGCAGGTGAAATCCATAAGAATGTTCTTATCTTCGAATCGAATGATTTAACTAACCATGATTTACACACTGTTAAAGTTTTGTTATATGATGGTTTCATCGGTGTAAACTACCTTCAAATTCTTGATAACGATGAAGCAGGTATTTATGAATTTAACATGACAAGAAGAATAGTTCATAACGGAGACAAAACATCAACTACAGTAAAGAGATTAGGTGGTGACAAGCGTAAATCATATGTCACAGTCAAATCTAAGGATGGAACAGCGAAAAGTGATGTTGATTACAAACCAATCAATACTAAATTATTCTTCGATGTTAATGAAAACGCGAAGGAAGTAATAATAGAAACAATAGAAAACAAAGATCATGATAAGAATATTACATTTAATCTAGAAATTAGTGATGCAACAAATGATGCTTTAATTGTATTCAATAACGTAACTGAAATCGAAATCAATGCTAAACCAAATCCAACTGAATTACCAACACCAACTCCAAGCCCAGCTAAGGAAAATACAACTAAATTTGTTATTATATTTGTTGCTGTTTTGGTTGTTATTTTGGTTTGTGTTGCTGTTATCTTTGTAGCAATGAGAAATCATTGATGTCCAACTATCCTAACAGACAATAAATTGGGAACTATTTCCCTCCTTTCTAATGATGTAAACGGATCTGCTAATCCAATGTTCACATAAAATTAAGTAAAAATTATTCTATATATCAAATTTCACCCTTTATTACATAAGAATTTATTTTATACATAAATGCGAAATGATTTGTTTATAAAAAGTTCATATACGTTTATTACGAATATGTTTCTTCAAGCGAAAAAGGGATAGGCTTACAACAAAATGTGAGTCGTTTGACGATACAAACGGTTTGGTCAGACATATTTCCTTAGAAGGTATTTTTGTCAATTTGTAAACTATTCAAACGTTAAATATAATGTCTGGCAGACTATCACTTAATTATACGTACATTGCTGCACATTTGAAAGAGTATATTGATGGAGATAAGTCTCTTGACGTATTTGAGCCAGAAGACATTGAAAAGATTTTGAATGAATCAAAATTAACTCCGAATGATTTCGAAATTCTTCTACGGAAATTATCATCTAATTTTCAGTCAATAAATATATACAAATGCGCTAGAAATACACAAATTCCTACAAATAGTCTTCAAGATGCAATTTTAACATTAAAAACTGTTCGAAAATATATGAAACTAACATTACTTGATGGAATCATTGATAACATGAATCAAATTGAGAACGAAATGTCTAATTATACAAAGACAATTCAAAAACTTCAATCAGATTTAAACCTGATCCAAAACCAAAAACAAAACTGTGAAAAAGAAATACAATCTCTTAAATCCCAACTCAAAGAAAAAGAAAGAGAAATTTCTGAAAGTAAAGAAGAGAATAATATTCGAAAAGAAATCCTTTCAAAAATTGCTGGATTACAGAATTCGGATGTATTCGAAATTATCTACAACTTCCTTGACAATCTTTCAGAAAAAGGAAATCAAAAAATCTTAGCAAAAGCATGTGAAGTAGGTTTTTGGAATGTGAAGTTGAAAAGTATGTGGGAAAATAATGTTCTTATTGAAGCTTCGCATAGAGGAAATTTAGGACTTGTTAAATCACTCATTGAATGTGGATGTGACAAAGAATCAAGGAGTAATCAAGGAGGTACTCCACTTATTTGGGCGTCAGGTCATCATCATCCTGATATAGTTAAATATCTTATCTCTGTGGGGGCTAAACTCGAAAATCCAGATAATTATGGAAATACTCCACTCATCTGGGCATCAGGCTATGGTCATCTTGATATAGTTAAATACCTTATTTCTGTTGGAGCTAATAAAGATGCAAAGGGTGATCTAGGAAATACTTCTCTCATATGGGCATCAAAATGTAATCATCTTGAAGTAGTTAAATATCTTGTCTCTATTGGAGTTAATAAAGATTCAATGGATAAAGATGGAAAAACTGCACTCTCCTTTGCAAAAGATCAAATAAAAGAATATCTAATATCAATGGTAGCTAAATAATTATGCCATCACTTTCTGAAATCATATCAATTATTTTGTCACATTCTATTATGAAAAATTCCAACCAAGAAACTACAATAAATTTGGAAAATAAAAACAATTTATTACACGCTCGTTTTATATATATATTATAGAAATTATGATAATGCCTTCACACAACTACTCATTTTTAGATATATCTCAAATTAATAGTCAAAATTTCGAGAATTTTAAAATCGCTCACAATATAGCGTATATCTAGTTTTAGAATCTTTAAATAAATAGATGATTAATGCACAAAAGCTTTTAATTCTATAATCAATAAGTGTTTTAAACAATTGACGAGGCAGTTGGCTCATAGTCAAGCTACTCCAAATGGTCCTTTTTGTAATATTTATAGCACCTAATACCTAATATTTTATTTTATTAATTCTGGATTTTATTCATTTAATATTACAATTCTGCAATGTGCAACAACTATGATTGAATTTGAGCATAAATACCATCCGAAATGTTTAATTGAAAATTTTTCTGATTAAATATGAAGCGGAATTGTTTCAATTTAAGGGCATCATGTTCATATGATCATTGAAGCTATGTGGTTTAGTTTTATCATTTTTCTTATAAAAAAATAAATCGTAAGCTTTTTTTTATTGTCAAAAAAAGTAAATTTGATAAAAAAAATATGAGTTCAAAAGAAGAGAAAGCGAAGTCAAGTGAAACAAAAGATCGCAAGCATCGCGATCATAAGCACCGCGATAAATCCGAAAGCAAGGAGAAATCTAGATCAAGCAGAAAAGATAGATCAGTTTCATTTGAAAATGGCGACGGCCCTAACCTTGATTCCAAATCCGAAAACGGTGAAGATAACATACCAGAATTTTGTTTCAATGCAAAGAAATCCAAATCAGCAAATCAAATTCTCGAATTAACTGATACGCCTTTCTCAGTCTCACCTGAATTTGATGGCAAATTCAAGAAAGCTGCTCAAACAAAGATTGATCGTTCATACTGGGAGACAGAACTCTATCGTTTACATCCTGAAATCAGAGATTTAGTAACTCGTGTCGATCCAGTCTCAAGAGCAGCAACTATTGCTAGCTTATTCCTCCCATCGAGACGTTTACTTCCTCAGGAAGGCGTCCTTGCATTAATTGTTCAACACCTCAAAACTGTCGGATTGCCAGTTACTGCTGCTGAAATCGAAAATAATCTAATGTTCAGCATCGACTACCCTCCTCATCACCAGAATTCCCAGCTTGTTCACCACCTTGAACGTGGTATTATTTCAGCAGATGGCTTTTACAACCTTCTCTTGCCAACACCTGGATATCCAAACGATCCGGATACAGTAAAGAAGCAGCTTGCCACGCACGCTTCTTCGACTCTTGGTGTTATTGGTATCAAGAAATCAGATGATACGAAAATCATCGACGATAAAGATCTCGCAGGCTACGTTTACAATCCTGAAGATAAATTACCAAGGCTTGGCACTACAAACCAGCTCGTTTGGGTTGCTTGCCGCAGAGATCAATCAGAACATCCTTTTGCACCACAACTTATCGATATCTTCGCTATGACTTATCATACATTCATGACTTCTCATCATATGTTCAGAAAACTTCAAGAAGCTTTAGAAAAATTATTCGACGAAGCAAAAGACATGAAACCATCAGATAGAGATAAAGCCGAACTTTACTACGTAGCTCTTGTCGAAAAGTGGATGGAAAAGAGTTTTTACGACTTCGATTCAATGTTGATCCAAAATTTGAACCAATGGCTCAACAGTATCGAATTCCAGAACAAAGGTGCTAAGAGGAGATTACTTACAGCATTCCAAAAGCAAATTAGTGGCGAAATGTCCAAGAAACTCCTTGAATTTGATATAGCTTCAGATATCAACCTTCCTCGTGGACTTTTCTCCGGACAATTCGAACTAGTCGATATGGACATGGATGAACTTGCACGCCAAATCACAATGTACGCAGGAAAATTCTATTACGCTATTACTGAGAAAGAATTACTTGATTGCGCATGGAGCAAGCCTCGTATAAGACATAGAGCTCCAAATGTATGTGCTATCACAAGCCATTTCAACTGTTTGAACCAATGGGTACAACATGAAATTTTATTTGCGGAAACTCTCGAAAAGAGATTCAAATTATGGGAGTTATTTACACGCCTGGCCCAAAAGTTCTGGGATAACCAGGATTATTTCGATGGTATGGCCATTGCAACAGCATTTCAAGCAAATCCAATTTATCGTCTCAAGAATCATAAGCAACTACTTTCACCAAACGTTATGGATCCTATCGATAAGATCATGAACGACGCCCGATCCGAAAAGAACTTCGCCGCATTACAACAACTTCATAATGATGCATTAAAGAAAGGTTCCGGAACAGTTATACCTTACGTTGGCGTTTACTTAACACAATTAACATTCTTCTACGATGGTAACAAAGATTACCAAGACGGTCTTGTCAATTTCCAAAAATGCGCTGGTATTTACACCCTCGTTACAAAGATTTTGTCGTTCCAGACAAAGGAATTCACATACAGCAAGATCGATCAGGTACAAAAGAAGCTCGCAGAACTTCCTCTTTGGGATTCTGCATTTTTGTCCGAAAGGTCAATGCAAATCGAGCCAAAGGATATGACACTCGACCAATTAAAGAAGATGTACGCCAAAGAAACAGGTGCTTCAACAACTGCTCCTCCACAACAGGCTCCAGCTCCTGCTCCAGAGACTCCGGCACCTGCTCCAGCTGAAACACCTGCAGCTGAGTAACGTTATTTTTATTTTTTTATTTTTTTTCTTTATTTATATAAAACATTGGAAAAAATTAGTGAAAATTATTTATAAAATTAGTAGTAGGATATGACGGGTTTAGTGACTTTTTTTGTTACATCTATATATAGACGATGCATTAAAATATATTTATTTATAAATCATTTAAAAAATTAACATTAATTTTAAAATAATTTATTTTTTATCTTTTATAAAATAATCTATATATATATAGATGATGTCAGATATTCCACGATTAATTAAACATTGTTTAAATCCTGAATGGGTTAAACTTCAATTTAAAAATGAAGATTGTGAATTATTAAATGAATATGAAAGCCAAAATAAGCTAATGAGGTATAAATATAATGATAAAGAATATTTAATTTCATGGAATCAATGGAGTCATAATCAAAGACCTCATAAACAAGAAGAAGAAATTGAAAATAATGAAATGGAAATCATTGATGACATTAAAGAGGATGGAATTCCTAAATTTTGTAGAAAAACCTTTAGAACTAAGTTAGGAGCATATAAACGTAGAGTATTAAATCCTGAATATCTTAAACATCAATTTAAAAAGGAAGACTGTGAATTATTAAACGCTAATGAATATGAAAATGCTAAATCAAAACTGAGATATAAATATATTGGAAGTGATGAAAAGTAGTATATGTGGAGGGGTGTGTGACTTTTTTTGTAAACGTAAGAATTCATACAATATTGAATGATTTTGTATCATTTTTTCTAACATATAAAGTAAAAAATGTATGATTCTTACGGTTTTTATTCTTACGTTTTTGAATAAATCAAGATTTAAAAATTGAATTCTTACGTAAAATTAAAACTAAGTTAAATTTATTTTTTATTTAATGATAAATGAGTATAACAACTAATTCATTGAAATCTTTAAAGTTCACTAATTCAGAACTAGAAAATGAAAAACTTCAGAAAAAATTAAACGATAGACTTTCAAATGATCGTATTGAAAAAATAAATAAACTAGCAGAAGTTGCATTTAATAATGAAATATTTGATGAATATAACCTTGAACTCAGTGATGGGCTTTAAGGACCCGGGATCAACGAGTTATGATTTATGAAATCAATTATTTGATTCATTCTTTCTTCAATAATTTCTATTCTTTTTGTTAAATCATCTATTTTCATTAATGAGGTGATTCTTGATTGAGGAATAGATTTCAAACTAACCACTCCTTTTATTTTTGAAATTTTGAATCCATCAACTTTAAACATTTTATTCAATTTACACGTTGTCAATTCTTCAAATAATTTTTTATTATTAGCATAATAGTCATTAAATTCTTCAACAGATGAAAAAATTTTTATTTCAGTAATTGGTTTAACAACGTTTATTTTTTGTTGAACATTTTCACTTTCATTTATTTCTTCCTCCTCTGTTTCATTTATTTTTAAAATCGGTTTCATTTATCATTAAATAAAAATTAGAATATAAGTGATGAAATATATTTTTTAATTAATATTAAATCAGAAATGGCTGCAGGATTCTTTAAAAAGTTATGGGAAGGAATTAAGAAAGCTGCAGGTTGGGTTTATAAAAAGGTTATTAAACCTGTTGCAAACTTTTTGGCACCAGTAGCGAAAACGGCAGGAACTATCATAGGTGGAGTATTAGGTACAAAAGCAGGTAATCCGCGATGGGAGCACAAGCAGGTAACGCAATTGGTGGAATAGCTGAAGGAATACTTAATAAAATAGGAGGTAGATAGTGGAAAAATAAATATTATTTTTATCTTAGTATCGGTTGTAGTCTTTGATAAACTTTTTCTCCTTTATTTAATATTTCTCTTATTGGGGCGCTTTTGGTGTTATTGATTCAGCAACGTCACTAATTGCTTCTTTATTCTTAAATATCCAATTTGCTCCTTTCTTCATTGTTTCCCAAACTTTATGCGCTCCTCTTTTTACTTTATCCCACAGTTTCTTAAATATACCTGCAGCCATAGTTGATTATTTCATTAAAATTAAAAATTCATTTTCATCTTTTAATTTTGATTTTTTATTTAATAATAAATGACGACTAACTATTTGGTGCCAAACACTAAACCGATTAATGGAAATGTGTTTCATTCATTCGAAAAGATAAATGAAATATTCGCAAAGAATGAGGTAGAAGATATTATAGAGAACTTGAAAGTTCATGCTATGACTCTGATGCTCCATATTTTGATGATAAACAAACTCATTTAAGAATTACAAATCCGCTCATGATGTGAACCAATTAGGTGACACATATATTAAGCGCAAAGTTAAAGCAACTCTAGTTTCAAATAAAGCTTTCACATGTGATGCCAGTTTTAAATGCATGCGTTTATTCGTTGGTTACAAATCATCAAATCAAAGCTTTAAACAATTAGAAGTAGAAACCGAAAGAGGTGATGCCGGTTATCTTCAGATGGATTGTGCCCGTGAATCTTTCGCATTTGCAACATATAAACCAAAATCAGAAAGGAAAGTTAAAAGTTTGTTCATTCGTTATATAATAATGTTCAAAATATGATAACTCAGTATGTGGTAAATATATTGACCCTTCAGAAGTTTTCAAGAAAGCAAATGAACGAAGTTGATATCACTTTTGATATGATTATTCCGGTAAATGATTTGTTAGCATTTCAGGCGTTCGATGATTATCCTAAATCATTTGGTGAATATCATTCTTAAATATTATGTTTTCAGGATACTTTAGTATTTTGTCAGGTTGACCCGTTAAGAGTTGCTGATTTACAAAATTACGTTTATGAAAAGATAACTGATGAAAATTATGAAAAGATTATGAATCATGTTTATAAATATGATCGCAAATTCCAACAAATCGGACTTCCTACCAAATTAATTACAAGCTTAGCCGCTACATCTGCTGACGCAACAGTTGATGACGTTATTATTTCATGCACAAAGATGGAAGTTTTAGAGGATAAATGCATTACACCAGGATACGGTTTAATTGAAGAATCAGTTAAAGCAATACCACGTTTATTCAGTAAGGAAGATCCATTCATGATTCCAGCTCAACATATTGACGTTCGTTCACTAAATGGAGGTTGCATCACTCCTGAAGGTATTAGCTCAGATTTCTCATACGCTCTTCATAATGTTACAGATGTTGTGTTAACATTTCCGAAGAATGCAATGCAAAGAACAGTTTTAGAAAATCCAATGCTTCGAGGTCTTCAGGTCACTATAGATTCCAGAAACTTCCCCGATCAAGCGATGACCACAGTGGGTGACATATTCTTTACACGTATGCTTCAAGCTTCTGATTTAGATGGAGTGAATGAATGCACGGAAGAATACGAGGACTCATTAACTAGACCACTGAATGATGATGATGGCATGCCATTAGCTAGAACATGGAAAGACCAAACTTCATTCTTATGCACTATTCCAGTTCAACGTGATGGAGCGGGTATATTCTTTGATGGATTAGAAACTTTCAACTCACAAGTTACAGTACAAGTGAAAGCTTATCCAATCATTCAGGGTGAAAATGACACTTACTGTTCAAAAGTGACAAATCCTCCTCAGGTTTGGTTTACTAGGACTACGTATTGGACATGGACACCGGATGAAGGTTTGAAATATCATCCAACAGGTACACCACCACAGTATAGAAGTTCATATGATGAAATATTGATGAATAGAAATGTTTAAAATTATAAATTTATTTTTGATTAAATGGATTTCAATTCTGAAGAATTAACAGATGTATATAATACCTACATAGATGATATGATTAATGAAGCATTGAGTGATAATAGAAATGCTCTATCTAAGGAAAAAATTAATGAAAATTCCATATTCTGAATGTTACTTAAATTCAATCACTGCAGCAATTGGTAAACAGAATAAAGGTAAAACATTAACGATATTAAAACAAATTATCATTATTGCTAACACTTCCCCCTATTCACATGTGTTAATTTATATCAACCGTTCAGGTTCACCTTCAGATGATACATTTGAATCTTTAAAGCATTTAATCAAAATTCCAATTATTTATTTATCACAAGAAGAAGCAGAAGATTATTTAAAAAACTTTTTAATGTATAAAGAATTATATAATACAATCAAGAAGCAAGGATTAGAGGATAAAATTATTGATAAACAAAGGGATGAATTATTTGAAACACTTTCTATTTCAAATTTTGATAGAGAATTTTTGCATTCACTCATTTTTCTAGATGATGCGGTGAAATCAAAACTAATAACTAATGAGAAATCATATTTTAATCAGTTATTAACTCAATGTCGACACATTCAGTGTTCATTCTTCATGGCTGTTCAATACTTCAAAGCATTAAGCACAAACATTAAATCAAATCTATCAACACTTTTCATTTTCAGTGGGTTTAGTCGTCAACAGTTGAACGTTATGCTTTATCAAGTGAATTTACCAATGAGCATTAATGAACTTTACACACAATATCAACAATTAGGTGAACATGAAAAAATAATAGTTGATTTAAATAAAGGAGGTGTTAAATTTGATTAACTTTTTATAATTAATTTTTATTTTTTATTTATAATTAAACATGACAGAAATAGCAAATCTTCTACAGGTTCCATTAAAACAAGGAACAAACAAAAAGGGTGCATATAATAGAACTATGAAAGTTCCTGATGGAATGAAAGAATTAGTTCATATTGTTGCTGGTCTTCAAAAAGATGTTAAACAAATGAGAAACGTTTTAACATTACCAGAAGCTCAAGCATATGCCAAACGTCATGGTCCAAATTGGGAAGCACATGAAGCAGACATTACAGGACCAAATGGAAAGCCTGATGGTATAAATGAAGTTTTCGTTACTGATGGTCAAGGAAATATTAAAGTCATAAATGGGTATAAATTAACAATGACGGATTATCCTAAACGTAAAGCATATAATGAAAGTTATCCTATGCAATTTGATGAACATGGAAAAGCTGTTAAACAATACATTGGAGAAGGTGAAAATGGTC